GTCTGTAATACCTACATGTTTCAAGCAGACCACCATAGACCATATGCCCAAGAACGCCAAGGTAACCTTTCTAAATGACTATCGCCCCGTAGCACTCACATCTGTAGCCATGAAATGCTTTGAAAGGTTGGTCATGGCTCAAATCAACACCATTATCCCTAACAAAGGAGCTGATAGTGGACTACAGGAAACGGAGGGCCAAGCACGCCCCCATCCACATTGACAGGGCTGTAGTGGAGCGGGTCGAGTGTCACGCCCTGACTCTGGGGACTCTTATTTGTTGAGTCAGGGTGTGACTTTCTATGTTGTTATGTTCTATGTTGTATTTTCTAGGTTTAGATCTAGTACGTCTAGATCTATGTTGGCCGGTGTGGTTCCCAATCAGAGGCAGCTGTCGCTCGTTGTCTCTGATTGGGGACCATACTTAGGCAGCCTATTGGCACTAGTGGGTTGTGGGATCTTGTTCCGTGTTAGGTATGTTGTTTGTGTACCTTGGACATCACGTTTCGTTTCTTGTTTTGTTGTTGTGTTTAATAGTCAAATAAACATGTATGCATATCACGCTGCGCCTTGGTCTGACCCGTTCATGAACGAACGTGACAGTCGAGAGCTTCAAGTTCCTCAGCGTCCACATCACTAAGGAATTAACATGGTCCAAACACACCAACACAGTTGTGAAGAAGGGATGGCAATGTCTCTTCCCCCTCAGGAGGCTGAAAAGATTTGTCATAGGCCCTCAGATCCTCAAAAAGTTATACAGCTGCACCATTAAGAGCATCTTGACTGGCTGCACCACCGCCTGGTATGGAAACTGCTTGGCATGCGACCGCAAGGCGCTACAGAGAGTAGTGCGTATGGCCCAGTACGTCACTGGGGCCGAGATCCATGCCATCCAGGACCTCTATACCAGGCGATGTCAGAGGAAGGCCCTAAAAACGGTCAAAGACTCCAGCCACCCAAGTCACAGAATGTTCTCTTTGCTACCGCACGGCAAGCGGTACCGATCGGCCAAGTCTGGAACCAACAGGACCCTGAAGAGCTTCTACCCCCAAGCCATAAGGCTACTAAATAGTTAACCAAATAGCTACCCGGACTATCTACATTGACCCTCTTTGCACTAACTATTTTGACTCATCACATACGCTGCTGCTACTGTTAATTATTTATTCGGTTGCCTAGTCACTTTACCCCTACCTATACAGTAAATTCAGAAAGTATTTGCATTTTATGGTACAGCCTGAATTTAAAATGGTTTAAATTCTGATTTTGTGTCACTGGCCTACACACAGTACCCCATAATGTCAAAGTGAAATTCAATTTTTTGAAATTTTAGAGAGTATTCAAACCCTTTGTTATGGCAAGCCTAAATATGTTCAGGAGTGCAAATTTGCTTAACAAATCACATACGTTGCATTGACTCACTCTGTGTGCAATAATAGTGTTTAACATGATTTTATTATGACTACCTCATCTCTGTACCCCACACACACAATTATCTGTAAGGTCACTCAGTCAAGCAGTGAATTTCAAACACAGATTCAAGCACAAAGACCACGGAGGTTTTCAATGCCTCGCAAAGAAGGGCACCTATTGGTAGATGGGTAAATGAAAAAAGCAGACATTGAATATCCCTTTGAGCATGGTGAAGTTATTAATTGCACTTTGGATGGTGTATCAAAATACCCAGTCACCACAAAGATACAGGCATCCTTCCTCAGTTGCCAGAGAGGAAGGAATCTGCTCAGGGATTTCCCCATGAGGCCAATGGTGACTTTAAAACAGTTACAGAGTTTAATGGCTGTGATAGGAAGATACTAAGGATGGATCAACAACATTGTAGTTACTCCACAATACTAACCTAATTTACAGAGTGAAAAGCAGGAAGCCTGTACAAAATAAAAACATTAATGCATCCTGTTTGCAACAAGGCACTAAAGTAATACTGCAAAAAATGTGGCAAAGCAATTAACTGTCCTGAATACAAAGTGTTATGTTTGGGGCAAATCTAATACAACACATTACTGAGTACCACTCTCCATATTCTCAAGCATAGTGGTGGCTGCATCATGTTATGGGTATGCTTGTAATCATTATGGACTGGGGAGTTTTTAAGGATAAAAAATCAACGGAATGGAGCTAAGCACAGGCAAGTTCCTACAGGAAAACCTGGTTCAGTCTGCTTTCCACCAGACACTGGGAGATTCATTCAGCTTTCAGCAGGACAATAACCTAAAACACAAGGCCAAATCTACACTGGAGTTGCTTACCAAGAAGACAGTGAATGTTCCTGCGTGGCTGAGTTACAGTTTTGACTTAAATCTACTTGAAAATGGTTGTCTAGCGATGATCATCAACCAATTTGACAGAGCCTGAAGTATTTTGAAAAGAATAATGGGAAAGTGTTGCACAATCCAGGTGTGGAAAGCTCTTAAAGACTTACCCAGAAAGATTCACAGCTGTAATCAATGCCAAAGGTGCTTCTACAAAGTATTGACACAGGGATGTGACTACTTATGTAAATTAGATATTTAGCATGTGACAAATACATTTTGATTTCAATTGATTTTTTATTTGAGATGGGCGTTGATGTTCATGTCAGCTGACGGTGAAAGTATTGGATTTCCTGTTTTGTTATTTCAGTCAGTTTGTATGTAGTTAATGCTTTAAACATCATTGATCTGCATGGGAGATAGGATTGGATAGTGTCAGCAAGTTAGCTCAGGACCCACAACCACACATACACCGCAGGGACCTGTAGAGGCAAAGGAAGGGAGAGTGGTCTTAAGACTATGAAGCCTCATCCTTAATGGGTACATTAATCAAAATTTGCTGTGGCACCAAGGACTCAGAGGACACATTGTATGAGGGGACTTTTAACATGAGTGCACACACTGTAGTCTTAATTAAATAGAATGTAGAGTCACACACACCTCTCACTAAACAGCCTCCTTCTCCACTATTTTCTCTCTCTCTCCATGCTCTACTGTGGAGGTAGCGAGTGAGGTATGAGGTACTGTTATCCAGAGCAACTTTCACGACCAATCAGGGTTAAGTGCCTTGCTCAAGGTCACATCAACAGATTTTTCACCTAGTCGGCTTGGGGATTCAAACCAGCAACCTTTGTGTTACTGGCCCAATGCTCTTAACTGCTAGGCTACTTGCCACCCTGTTGTGAGCTGAGTGGGAGAATCAGTTCACAACTAAAGAGTGTGGATGTCCTTCCCTGGCACAATCAATATGACAGGTAAAGGATGACGAGAGAGGCTGTATGTAAATCTAACAGAGGTCAAATCGATCTACTTCACCCCCTAATCCTGCAACAACAGGACATTTGAATTATCATGTGGATTATAATTAATGGACATTTCAAAGTGGCAATTACAAACTTCAGAAGCCTTTTTAAACCTAAAATACACTACGAATATTTTATTTTCTGCATTGCAGGAAAGTTCTCCTGCAACAGGATGATCAAATTAATATCTTACATCTGTACCTAGCAAGATCATTGAGTAAATGCTTATTAGACATGAATATGTCAATACGGGCAGTCCCATGATATGCCATGCTTTGTGAGAGATTACCTTCCAAGACTTCGATCTTACATAACCTATTCAGCATGTTCTGTGTTATACTGACTTTTACAAACACGTCTACATAATGCTGAATCATTGAATGTACAGTTTTGTTACATAACACAGGACACAGCAGTAAGCTCCATGTAAATCACATAGAAGAAAAAATATAGTGCAGCTTGTTACCAAAGAGCCAGAGCTATATAGGCCATAAGCTGCTAATTCACTGCACTCCCTGTGCTCAGAGTGGTATGAAGCTGCCCCCCCCCCCCCCCCCCCCCCCCCCCCCCCCTAAATGGTTATGGAGGATAGGATGTTGGGAGAGTAAGCTTATCCTAGATCTGTGCCTTAGGGCAACTTCTAACCAGAGCCCCTGTACTGTTGGCTGATGTGGTTGGTTTGGCTTTAATGTAATGCAGCACACACACTGCATGTCCTGTGCTAGTTTTGGTGTGCAGTGATATGCCAGGTTGACTGTGCTGTGCTGTGCTGTGTGTTCTAGTGTTGGCTGGTGTGGTCGGTCGTTGCGTGCTGCCTGGCTGCCTGGCGCTGATGCACTGCAGTGGATCTTTAGTATTCCTCTCCTGCCGTCTGAGAAGGGTCTCCTCTGGGACTGGAGCGGAGCAGAGGGGAAGAGAGGCAGCCAGTGCCCATATCTACCAACGCTCCCTCCCTCCCTCCCTCCCTCACTTCCTCCATCCCTCCCTTCCTCTTTCTACCTCCCTTCCTCTCTCCCTCCCTCCCTTCACGCTATTAATAGGCCCTGCGCACAGAGTCTGTGTCAGGCAGCAGACAGGGGCCACAATCAGACCACCAAGCCATGCTGGAGGGGGGACACGGCAGGCAATCCAAAAAAGTATTGATTGGACGACTGGGCTTGTGTGTGTGTGTGTGTGTTTGTGTGTGTGTGTGTGTGTGTGTGTGAACTGCTTAAGTGCCCCTCTATATTCCTGAACAGTGAAATAACACCTAATATCTAAATCACACTGATGTTTGAATTTCTATGAGGTTCTCTGTGTGATATGATAAATATTCACCAAGATTATGTATTCACACAATTTGGAATCTCTGGTTCCATTTCTCATTCCCAGCACGAACCCTTCCCACACAAAGCCTACATAGATCCATCTAAATAAAGCATTTCCTGTCTCTAGTGACTAGCCCATGTGTGCTAACATAATTAAATCCTGAACGATGAATAATTTCTCCAAGCTAACATCATTTATTAACAAACAACACATTCAAATTAATCGAAATCCAATCATTTCACTTCTCCTGTTGAAACAACCTGGGTCTCTCATTAAAACTACATATTAAGAAAGTAATTTTTTATTGTTACCAATGTCTGTGTTTTGCAAACATTCATATTAATTCAAATGTTTCCCCCTTTCAATCAACATCTCTCCTTTAAGGATTATTTTCTGTGTAATGTGTGTTTCTCTGTTAACCCTTGAGGGGTGCTGTCTGTGTGTTGCAGGTGATGGGAACCCCAAGGAGAGCAGTCCCTTCATCAACAGCAGCAGTGCCAGTGATGTGGAGAAGAGCCAGCAGTATGATGGCAAGAACATGGCCCTGTTTGAGGTCTGTAACACAAGGCTCCTTCACTTGCTTACCTATGGGGCGGCGCACAATTGGCCCAGCGTCGTCCAGGGTAGGGAAGGGAATGGCCGGCAGGGATGTTGGTAGAGCATGGCGTTTGCAACACCAGGGTTGTGAGTTTGTTTCCCACGGTGGGCCAGTATGAAAAATATAAAAATAATGTATGCACTCACTAACTGTAAGTCACTCTGGATAAGAGCGTCTGCTAAATGACGTAAATGTAAATAATTATACTATAATTACATGGTAATGATCTAGTAATTATCTAATTGCTTTGTTCCATTGGTTTCGATGAAACAAGCACAAAGCCTTGCTTACTTACTTACCATCTGACAGCAGGTGGGTTGAATTCTTTGAAATAAGTACTGGCTTAATCATATAGTTTCTCAGTTGTCAATATCAGCTGAGAGGACTGTAAAATTAAATAATACCTGCATGTTTCCTACTGTGTTTTGTCCTCTGGTATACTGATATGGTGTGTCTGTCCACCTGTCCCTCTGTCCTGCAGGAGGAGATGGACAACAGTCCTATGGTTTCATCCATACTTAGCAGTCTGGCCAACTACTCCAACCTGCCTCAGGGCAGCAAAGAGCACGAGGAGGCCGAGAACGAGGAGGGGGCGGCGCCATCCAAAAAAAAACCTGCTGTCAAGGTACTCCATCTAATCTAAACTAAAGTCTGGTCCTAAACATAAACATTAGCTGAAGTTTGACTTGATCTGAGGTGGCAGAGTGTGTCCCTCCCATCCTCCACCTGGACGAACAGGGGGCCTGGAAAGGACGTTATTGATGACGCTGTCGGCCATGTTTAGGCCTGGACTTTATTGATGGCCATGCGCGCTATCCTTTTCCTTCCCCGTCGCTACACAGCCGTTTGGTAATTTATCGGGCCTGAGCAGGGCAGGTTGACGTTTATTGTCATGAGTCTTGTCCTGGAGGCAGAACTGAGCGATTTCCCCTTAGAAAGGCCAGGTGCAAATTCAAAATTGGCTATATTGTAAGAATTCATTATTAGCTCTTTGGCCTTAATTAAAGATTAAGGTTAGGCATTATGGTTATCAGTGTGGTTAAGGTTAGGGTTATGACTTTGTGGCTGTGCCAGCTAGTGAGCTGCATCCAGAACAAGATTAATGACGATAAATGCTAACCTGCCTGAGTAGGGACACATTAGGCCTGTTATCCAACACATGTGCAGTGGGGCATAACCCTGATACAACAAGCTGCTCTCTCGGCCTGTCTTGTTACCCTGATACAACAAGCTGCTCTCTCGGCCTGTCTTGTTACCCTGATACAACAAGCTGCTCTCTCAGCCTGTCTTGTTACCCTGAAACAACAAGCTGCTCTCTCTGCCTGTCTTGTTACCCTGATACAACAAGCTGCTCTCTCGGCCTGTCTTGTTACCCTGATACAACAAGCTGCTCTCTCGGCCTGTCTTGTTACCCTGATACAACAAGCTGCTCTCTCGGCCTGTCTTGTTACCCTGATACAACAGGCTGCTCTCTCGGCCTGTCTTGTTACCCTGATACAACAAGCTGCTCTCTCGGCCTGTCTTGTTACCCTGATACAACAAGCTGCTCTCTCAGCCTGTCTTGTTACCCTGAAACAACAAGCTGCTCTCTCTGCCTGTCTTGTTACCCTGATACAACAAGCTGCTCTCTCGGCCTGTCTTGTTACCCTGATACAACAAGCTGCTCTCTCGGCCTGTCTTGTTACCCTGATACAACAAGCTGCTCTCTCGGCCTGTCTTGTTACCCTGATACAACAAGCTGCTCTCTCTGCCTGTCTTGTTACCCTGATACAACAAGCTGCTCTCTCAGCCTGTCTTGTTACCCTGATACAACAAGCTGCTCTCTCTGCCTGTCTTGTTACCCTGATACAACAAGCTGCTCTCTCAGCCTGTCTTGTTACCCTGATACAACAAGCTGCTCTCTCTGCCTGTCTTGTTACCCTGATACAACAAGCTGCTCTCTCGGCCTGTCTTGTTACCCTGATACAACAAGCTGCTCTCTCGGCCTGTCTTGTTACCCTGATACAACAAGCTGCTCTCTCAGCCTGTCTTGTTACCCTGATACAACAAGCTGCTCTCTCTGCCTGTCTTGTTACCCTGATACAACAAGCTGCTCTCTCGGCCTGTCTTGTTACCCTGATACAACAAGCTGCTCTCTCGGCCTGTCTTGTTACCCTGATACAAATCAAATCAAATTGTATTTGCCACATGCTTCGTAAACAACAGGTGTAGACTAACAGTGAAATGCTTATTTACTTCCCAACAATGCAGAGAGAAAAAATAGAAATAATAGAAAAATAGACAGATAATAACACCAGGAATAAATACAAAATGAGTAAGGATAACTTGAATGTATACACGGGGACCAGTACCAAGTCCATGTGCAGGGGTACGAGGTCATTGAGGTAGATATGTACATATAGGTAGGGATAAAGTGACTAGGCAACAGGATAGATAATAAACTTTAACAGCAGCATATGTGATGAGTCAAAAGAGTTAATGCATATAGTCCTGGTAGCTATTGGTTAACTATTTAACTAACTATTTAGGAGTCTTATGGCTTGGGTGTCCCGTGTTGCTCAGTTGGTAGAGCCTGGCGTTTGCAACACCAGGGTTGTAGGTTCGATTCCCATGGGGAAAAAGCATGAAAATGTATGTACTCACTAACTGTAAGTCGCTCTGGATAAGAGCGTCTGCTAAATGACTAAAATGTAAAATGTGTAGAAACTGTTCAGGGTCCTGTTGGTTCCAGACTTGGTGCATTGGTACCACTTGCCATGCGGTAGCAGAGAGAACGGTCTATGACTTGGGTGGCTGGAGTCTTTGACAATTTTTAGGGCCTTCCTCTGACACCACCTGATATAGCAACCTGGTCTCAGAGCACTTCGTACTATTCTGTACGTAAATACTCCATTTAGTATTATATGTTATGTATATACAGTTGAAGTCGGAAGTTTACATACACCTTAGCCAAATACATTTAAACTCAGTTTCACAATTCCTGACATTTAATCCTAGTAAAAATTACCTGTCTTAGGTCATTTAGGATCACCACTTTATTTTAAGAATGTGAAATGTCAGAATAATAGTAGAGACATTTTTTTATTTAAGCTTTTATTCCTTTCATCACATTCCCATTGGGTCAGAAGTTTACATACACTCAATTAGTATTTGGTTGCGTTGCCTTTAAATTCTTTAACTTGGGTCAAACGTTTCAGATTGTTTCCCCCTGGAAAAATTACTTGTGTCATGCACAAAGTAGATGTCCTAACCGACTTGGCAAAACTATAGTTTGTTAACAAGAAATGTGTGGAGTGGTTGAAAAACGAGTTTTAATGACTCCAACCTAAGTGTATGTAAACTTCAGACTTCAACTGTACGTATGCATGGTATATATTAATTGGTGGATGTCCATCACACATTTTGTACTGTCGTATCGGGTGAATGGTGGCAATTATTGCTGATAAACAAAGGAGTCCGCTCATACTGAACTTTGATCATAAGGTTTATTCAGATCACAAGCTTTCAGCATAAGTTACAGGTGACATGCCCACCCGGAGAGCGACGCCTCAGAATGGCCGCTCTGCCTTCTTCTTCGTTTAGCCCCTACTTATAAACAATGCAAAAAGATGCTCCCTCTTCTGGCCAATCACCAGTCTCCCCTGTCTACAACACACTTCCTGTCTGTTGTATGTGGCGTTACACTAAAACATTCCCTCTTGATACTAAAATTAACGTCCTCTCTGGTTCCACTTAAAACATTTAACAAAGGCATAATCCTAATACACGACAGTACGATATGTTACGAATTACAATTCATATTATATGTTACGAATCTGCGAAACATTTAATATGTTACAAATTCTAGCTAGGTGGCTAATGTTAGTTAGCTGGCTAACGCTAGCTAGGCTATGGGTTAGGGTTAGGGGTTAAGGTTAGGGTTAAATTTATGAGTTAGGTTAAATGGTTAAGGTTAGGTTTAGGGTAAGGGGAAGGGTTAGCTAAAAGGTTTAAGGTTAGGGTTAGCCAAAAGGGTTAAGGTTAGGGTTAAGGGAAGGGTTCGCTAACATGCTAAGTAATTGCAAAGTAGCAGAAAATTAGCTGAAATGTTGTCCGTGATGAGATTCAAACTCGCAACCTTCGAGTTGCCAGACGTTTGCATTATATGCAAACCCATCCATCCTGACCAACCACCTTACTTTTGTTTTTGCCTTAAGTAACCATCTGTCTTATGTAACCATACCAAACGTAACATATCATACAGGCTGTGTATAGAGGTCCTGGATGGCAGGGAGCTCTACCGCAGTGATGTACTGGGTCGTACGCACTACCCTCTGTAGCGCCTTGCGGTCGGATGCCAAGCAGTTGCCATATACAACAAGCGGCTCTCACATTCTGTCGTAACCCAGATACCACAAGCTGCTCTCTCGGATTGTCTTGTTACCCTGGTCTGAGGCAGGTTACTGCATCATTCCCCTCCACTCTTTTTGTTGTTATCCACATCTTCAATTGACAGCTTCCTCCAGACAAGAGGCCAAAAGAGGCTGATATGAGATAATTCTAAACAGGAAGTAGATATGAACCTGAGACGATGGGATAATGTTTAATGACAGGCTACTTTTTACAATTGAAGGATGATTGATGCATCAAAATGTGCATTTATTTGGCCATTTGTAGTTTAGCACTTGAGGCTTCATACAACAGGTAGAGTTATTGTGTATTGTGAACTTCAGTAGTGTTCTCTACAGAAGTCGTTCTCAACCCTGGTCCTGGGGACCTAAAGGGGTGCATGTTTTTGTTTTTGCCCTTGCATTAACACACCTTTCAAATGACCAGCTTCAGCTTGTTCATGATTCATTATTTGAATCAGGTTTGTTTGTACATGGGCAAAAACAAAAATGTGCATCCCTTTAGGTAACCCAGGACCAGGATTTGAGAAACACTGCTCTACAGTGAGAGAGACAGGCACCGTGGAGCCTGTCACTGAATGTGATAGAGTCACCTGGAGGATCTGAGGTCCAAAGGCAAAACCTGAGCCAGACAGACTGTCAGATTGGCCCTGCAGTGGGCTACCTCTCACTGGCTCTCCCCTGTGGCTCTGCAGAACACTCAGGGCTAAGACATCTCTCTCTACATACAGATTTCAATTTCCTGCCCATGTCTCGTCTCCTCCCTGGAGCTTCAGACACTTAATTGTAGTGTCAGGGAGACAAGCAAGGATTAAGAGGACAAATGATTGCTTGTACCTCTACTTGTACTGTCATATAAGACGTTGTCATTGATGTCACTGTTAGCGACTGGAATTAAAACTGACTTTCCAATCTTATCCTAGAATAAATTGCATTTAGAAGTAATAAAAAAAGTATAATAAATAGTGAATCCTGCACTACCATAATGTGTTAGTAATGTGCCGTACAGGTATTAGCTACTGGAGGGCTGATCACAAGTGGAGTCCTATGAGAGAGCCGATCCCATAGAACTCAACAGCTGAACGCCATGTCTAATCAAAGGTAGAGTTTGAGAACTACACTGTGGGTTGACATTGTTGGGATAATTAAATTTTCTCCCCCATACATAGCTAGACAGACAGGCCCACGTGAAGAAACAAATGAGAGGGTTCTTCTCCCTGGCAACAGGACAACTGTGCTAGTCATTAGCTAAATGGGCTGACAGAGCGATAGATGACATTGGGTTTGGGCAGCCTCAGCTAGTATCCTAGAGCCACCACCTGCATGAATAGAAGTAAATTTCTACTACTAAACTATCACACATATGGATCATTTCTCTCTCTGTGTAGTGAGACACAGAGGAATCTCTGCTGCCTGAATTTCAGCTTAATTGCCTCAGAAGAAAAAAAAACATTCAGTCATGGAGAGCCAGAAACATATTGCCAGCCCAAAATAATGAAGAAAAGGAGGAGAAGGTGTTATCTTCCTGCTGCCATTCAAATAGGTTAATGGGGAGGAGATGTCTCCATTTTGACTGAACAAAGAGCTTGTCATTCTCTCTTCATATGATTACTGTCTCTTTGTGATGGGATAGAGGAGGGCCTGTGAGCTTCTGTTGAGTCTGTACTGTATTTCAGTGTGATGAGTGCAGAATGAGTCTGTACTGTATTTCAGTATGATGAGTGCAGAATGAGTCTGTACTGTATTTCAGTATGATGAGTGCAGAATGAGTCTGTACTGTATCCACCAAACTCAGATGCAAGATTTGGTCACCGGAGGAATTTGTTTTGTTCAAATCAAATCAAATCAAATGTTATTTGTCACATTGTCACGTTTCTTTATAGACGGGCCAGACCAAGGCGCAGCGTGATATGCGTACATGTTTATTTTAATGAATAAACAACCGACAAAACAATAAACAAACGAAACGTGAAGTCCAAGGTAGAACACAAAACATACCTACACGGAACCTCCCACAACCCACTAGTGCCAATAGGCTGCCTAAGTATGGTCCCCAATCAGAGACAACGAGCTACAGCTGCCTCTGATTGGGAACCACACCGGCCAACATAGATCTACACATAATAGAATATCAACATAGAAATACACAACATAGAACATACACACCCCGACTCAACATATACGAGTCCCCAGAGTCAGGGCGTGACAGTACCCCCCCCCCCAAAGGATTCCGACCGCACAACATAAACATAACAGGGTAGGGGCCGGGTGGGCATTCCGCCTCGGAGGCGGATCCGGCTCAGGGCGTGACGACCACTTACTCTCCGCCTCCCTGTTGCGCCCCTGGTCTGGTCTGAACCTCGGCGCGCTGCTTCCCATCTCCTTCCTCCCACGAAGTACCAAGCCCTGTCTGGACCCTGGTGTGGGAGACCCCGAACCTGGAGAGGGGCTGACGTCTGGGTCTGGACTGGAGCCGCTGACCAGAGCTGGACCAGGCACCGGTGGAGCGGACTGCACAGGCTCCGGACTGGACCCGCTGACCGGAGCTGGACTAAGCACCGGTGGAGCGGACTACTCTGGCTCCGGAGTGGAGCCGCTGACCGGATCTGGACTGGACCCCGGTGGAGCGGACTGCTCTGGCTCCGGAGTGGAGCAGCTGACCGGAGCTGGATCAGGCACCGGTGGAGCGGACTGCTCTGGCTCCGGAGTGGAGCCGCTGACCGGAGCTGGACTGGACCCCGGTGAAGCGGATTTCTCTGGCTCCGGAGTGGAGCAGCTGACCGGAGCTGAACTGGGCACCGGTGGAGCGGACTGCTCTGGCTCCGAAGTGGAGCAGCTGACCGGACCAGGCAACGGTGGAACAGGCACTGGCCGTGCCGGACTGGACACACGCACCACTGGCTTGGTGTGAGGGGTAGGAACAGGCCGGGCCGGGCTGGCGATGCGCACCACTGGCTTGGTGCGAGGGGCAGGAACAGGCCGGGCCGGGCTGGCGACGCGCACCACTGGCTTGGTGCGAGGGGCAGGAACAGGCCGGACCGGGCTGGCGACGCGCACCACTGGCTTGGTGCGAGGGGCAGGAACAGGCCGGGCCGAGCTGGCGACCCGCACCACTGGCTTGGTGCGAGGGGCAGGAACAGGCCGGACCGGGCTGGCGACGCGCACCACTGGCTTGGTGCGAGGGGCAGGAACAGGCCGGGCCGTGCTGGCAACGCGCACCACTGGCTTGGTGCGAGGGGCAGGAACAGGCCGGGCCGGGCTGGTGACGCGCACCACTCTTGGGTCTCCGTCGTCGGCACTCCTCTTCCCGTGAGGACTCCTCCGGGAGCCCCCACGAGTTAGGGAACAGAACCTCGTCGTCGTCGTCATCCTCCGACTCCTCAGTATAATACTGTTCCCACTCCTCTTCCCATGGTCGTAGGGACCCAATCTGAAAACCGACCGGGTGCAGTGGTCGGGGCTCCTCTCTCTCGCTCCCCGACCACACCTTTAGCCCCCCCCAAAAAAAATGTATTGGGGCTGTCTCTCGGGCTTCCTCCTCGACCGGCGTCCTCTGCGTTGCCGTTGCACCTCTCCTGCCTGGGTATCTACCTTCGCCCATGGCCCTTTCCCCGCAAATATCTCCTCCCATGACCACCATTTGCCCACCTGTGACATCGCTATTCGCTCTTCCTGGGCACGCTGCTTGGTCCTCGTTTGGTGGGATCTTCTGTCACGTTCGTTTATAGACGGGTCAGACCAAGGCGCAGCGTGATATGCGTACATGTTTATTTTAATGAATAAACAACCGACAAAAACAATAAACAAACGAAACGTGAAGTCCAAGGTAGAACACAAAACATACCTACACGGAACAAGATCCCACAACCCACTAGTGCCAATAGGCTGCCTAAGTATGGTCCCCAATCAGAGACAACGAGCTACAGCTGCCTCTGATTGGGAACCACACCGGCCAACATAGATCTACACATAATAGAATATCAACATAGAAATACACAACATAGAACATACACACCCCGACTCAACATATACGAGTCCCCAGAGTCAGGGCGTGACACACATACACGTGTTTAGCAGATGTTATAGCGGGTGTAGCGAAATGCTTATGCTTCTAGCTCCGACAGTACAGTAATATCTAACAATTACACAACATATACCCAATACACACAAAAAAGTAAGGAATTGGATTTAAGAATATATACATATATGGACAAGCAATGACAGAGCGGCATGGACTAAGATACAGAAGAATATTATAGAATAGAATGCAGTATATACATATGAGATGAGTAGTGCAAGATATGTAAACCTTATTAAAGTGTCTAGTGTTCCATTTCTTAAAGTGACCAGTGATTTCAATAGGCAGCAGCAGCCTCTAATGTGCTAGTGATGGCTATTTAACAGTCTAAAGGCCTTGAGATAGAAGCTGTTTTTCATTCTCTCGGTCCCAGCTTTGATGCACCTGTACTGACCTCGCCTTCTGGATGATAGCGGGGTGAACAGGCAGTGGCTCGGGTGGTTGATGTCCTCTGGAGAGCCCTGCGGTTGTGGGTGGTGCAGTTGCCGTACCAGGCGGTGATACAGCCCGACAGGATGCTGTTTCCTGAAGTCCACGATCATCTCCTTTGCTTTGTTGATGTTGAGTGAGAGGTTATTTTCCTGGCACCACACTCCCAGAGCCCTCACCTCCTCCCTGTAGGTGGTCTCGTCATTGTTGGTAATTAAGCCTACTGCTGTTGTGTCGTCTGCAAACTTGATGATTGAGTTAGAGGCGTGCTTGGCCACGCAGTCATGGGTGAACAGGGAGTACAGGAGCGGGCTGAGCACGCACCCTTGTGGGGCCCCAGTGTTGAGGATCAGCGAAGTAGAGATGTTGTTTCCTACCTTCACCACCTGGGGGCGGCCCGTCAGGAAGTCCAGGACCCAGTTGCCCAGGGCAGGGTTCAGACCCAGGGCCTCGAGCTTAATGATGAGCTTGGAGGGTACTATGGTGTTGAATGCTGAGCTATAGTCAATGAACAGCATTCTTACATAGGTATTCCTCTTGTCCAGATGGGATAGGGCAGTGTGCAGTGTGATGGCAATTGCATTGTCTGTGGATCTATTGGGCGGTAAGCAAATTGAATTGGGTCTAGGGTGACAGGTAAGGTAGAGGTGATATGATCCTTGACTAGTTTCTCAAAGCACTTCATGATGACAGAGGTGAGTGCTACAGGGCGATAGTCATTTAGTTCAGTTACCTTTGCTTTCTTGGGTACAGGAACAATGGTGGCCATCTTGAAGCATGTGGGAACAGCAGACTGGGAAAGGGAGAGATTGATAATGTCCATGAACACACCAGCCAGCTGGTCTGTTCCACTAAGGTGTTGGGTACATTACAGTACTTGTATAATAATGGTTGTACTGCCGTGCCACAGTTAAATGTTCATATCACGTGCACAATCTCGCGTGCACACACACACACACATTATTAATCAGTTTTGGTTGTATTTGTTCTCCAGGCACCATCGCTGGGCACTCTGATGGGGGTGTACCTGCCCTGCATCCAGAATATCTTTGGTGTGATCCTGTTCCTGCGGATGACCTGGATGGTGGGCATCGGAGGGGTCTTTGGCTCCTTCATCATCGTCTTCATGTGCTGCTCCACGGTGAGTTAAAGCTCTGGGCCATATCCTTCTCACACACCCACTCTCTTCTGTTCTCCTCCTTCTCTCATTCTCTCTTCTCCTCATCCTCTCTCTCTTTATATCACCCTCCATGTCAGGAAAGCTATTTTTCTCTTCCATCCACTCTGTCTCTCTCTTTCCCCTTCTCCCTCCCTTTCTCTATCCTAATGTCCATCAGTGTTAGAATGGGCACTGTGCCTGCCAGAGCAGAGAGGCCAGTTTGCAGCTCTGATAAGGATATACTTAACACCACTTCCATTTTAATTCTGTTTGATGTTCAAAGCTCTCCCAGTTGAGTAAATCCTAGTTTAATCCTATTTTGACCTGAGGTAGCCCTAAAAGCTTTACAGAATATATTTACTATTCATCCCTTCACTTACAGAAATAGCTATTAATTTACAGTGTTGTATACAGAAGTATATTTTGAGATTCTATCAAATTCCGGTTCATAGTAATTTCATAATTTGCTACTAAAAATAATTATATAACCCAGAACAACTGTAATATAAATTCCAGAATGCATTTAGAATGTAGAATTTTAAAAATAATCTAAATGGTGTTCCTTTTGATTAATTCTGATTTGTCTCCCCAAGGGACTAAAAGCTATACCTCCAAACAATAGGTGACCACCCTTACCCCCGTCTGTCACAAGACAGGGCGGCAGGTAGCTTAGTGGTTAAGAGCGTTGTGCCAGTAACCGAAAGGTCGCTGGTTCTAATCCCCGAGCCGACTAGGTGAAAAATCTGTCGATGTGCCCTGGAGCAAGGCACTTAACCCTAATTGCTCCTGTAAGTCACTCTGGATAAGAGCGTCTGCTAAATGACTAAAATGTAATGTAAATGTAAGATCCAGTTAACAAATGAAGGCTAGCTAGCGCTCTAAGCTGCTATCAGCTCCATCACTGCTGATTACCATGTCAGCAGCAGTCCTAAAAAAAGTCAGATACAGCCCGTCTAATTAAAGGACTGATCAAACCCCAACAGCTCTGATTAAGCAGTGAGCTCAGGACTCTAAAGGACTGCTACTGTACCTGGGGCCATACATAGAGGTTGTGACCTGGACTCCAGTAGGACCAGTGGGACATCTGTCCCACCCCAGGGATAGTTTGGTTAGATTACTAATGGACTAGTAGACCCTGAGCAGCAGATCCTCCTCTTTGTTCTGTGGAGATCATTTAGATAAAGGCATCTGCATAATAGGTTGGGTTTGCTCCTAGCAGAACTTGTCTAGGCGAAGTGAACGTCTGTGCCTTGCATACTCACTTGAAAAAAGCGGTAATAGTTTGTCCACCTTGTCGTAACCAGTATACACTTCCTCAAAATGGTCAGAATTAATCTAAGATAGCTCAAGAAATCTGTCATAAATGTTGACGTTTTTGCAGAGGAGATCTTAGTAATGCAAATTTTACATCTAACTAAGATGTTTGGTGCAGTATTTCTGAAGTGAAAAAATGTGTGTGTCATCTCTCGTTGAATGACAACAAACACTTCATTGAAGAATCCCTACTTTTGACCGATCACAGACGAAGGGGCGTAGACTTCGGCTACCGAACTTCGGCTTGCCTCGAGAAAAGATGTAGTGCACACGAACAGGCTAAAAAAACCTTGCCGAAGACCAAAACCGGCACAATATGTCGTCATAATATATGCACAAACTGTTCCGAACTGTTTCAGATGGGAAGCATGCGGATAGACGCCTTTAGATAGAAAAAACAGCAGGGTTTCACAGGATGGGACAAGTGCCCGAGCTATCTGTTAGAGATTATAACCCAACACTGATTTGACTATTCATGTATTCCCTGTATTGTTCTACTTTGTACCAGACATGGGTTCAAATACGTGCATTTGAGTATTTGCTATTTAAATTACATTTGAGTATTTTAATGGTTATTTGTCCCCCAAAAAAATTTTGGGGACTTATTTCAAATACTATTTTCAAATACCTGGGTTAAATGCATGGGAGTGTATTTGAGTTAGTGTATTTGAGTATTTTAAAACACTTTCCAAGTGTATTTTCAAATAAATTATTAAATTACTTATTTTTTCAAATAAAGGTTATATGACTACTTGTTTTGAAATGACAAAAAATATTTGATTTGAAAAGTAATTGAAATACCTGAAATTGTATTTGAACCCAGGTCTGCTTTGTACATGGTTATCAGTTCACATCACTGTCAATTTACATATATCATGTATACTCACTTGAGGAGGGGTAACCTGATCCCAGATCTGTGCCAACGGGCAACTTCTTCCCGGAGCCTGATCATACCACTGTCTGTCTGCCCAGGGATGCTCAAGGAGCATGATTCCCAGTAGAGCAGTCCCAGGGTCCCTGGCCTGCAGCATCAGATAACAGTAAAACAATTAGGGCTAATCTGTGCTCCTCAGAGAGCAGGGTCACTTCATTACCAGCTGATAAGGAGTCTCATAGCGGCACCACGCCACCACGCCTGTTGGGCTCTGAGAGGGCCCTGTCGACAGTTAATACTCACCAGATTACACACACATGCACGTACACACACACAGCTCCAGGCCTGCCACTGGAAACCCACACTGAAGAGGTATTGATTGAGCTCAATCATCTCTCTTTATCGCGTTTGTAATATCACTCTCTTTTTGTGTCTCCGTGACTCCTTCTCTCTCCCTGTGTCCTGCGATCTATTTTCTTCACTGTATCTCTCTATCCATCTCTTTCCTTTTCTCCAGATATCTTCTTCTTTCTCCTTCTGATTCCTCCCTGATCTGTTCAGTATTTGTCTCTATCTAACCATTTCTCTCTCTCTCTACATGACTAACTCTCTTTCTCTGGCCTAACTACTCCTCTCGCTCTTTTATTTTCAACTCTGACTGTCTCTGTCCTTCTCTCCCTCTCTCTGACACCCCATTAACTTTCTCTCCTCTGTCCCTTTTTTTTACTGTAACTCTTCCCCTCTCACAGGCACCTGTCTCTCCATCTCACAGACACCTGTCTCTCCCTCTCACAGACACCTGTCTCTCCCTCTCACAGACACCTGTCTCTCCCTCTCACAGACACCTGTCTCTCCCTCTCACAGACACCTGTCTCTCCCTCTCACAGACAGCTGTCTCTCCCTCTCACACAGACACCTTCTCTCCCTCTCACAACAGCTGTTCTCCTCTCGAACCTGTCTCTCCTCTCACAGACACCTGTCTCTCCCTCTCACAGACACCTGTCTCTCCCTCTCACAGACACCTGTCTCTCCCTCTCCCAGACACCCGTCTCTCCCTCTCCCAGACACCTGTCTCTCCCTCTCACAGGCACCCGTCTCTCCCTTTCACAGGCACCTGTCTCTTCCTCTCACAGACACCTGTCTCTCCCTCTCACAGACACCTGTCTCTCCCTCTCACAGACAGCTGTCTCTCCCTCTCACAGACAGCTGTCTCTCCCTCTCACAGACAGCTGTCTCTCCCTCTCACAGGCACCCGTCTCTCCCTTTCACAGGCACCTGTCTCTTCCTCTCACAGACACCTGTCTCTCCCTCTCCCAGACACCTGTCTCTCCCTTTCACAGACACCTGTCTCTTCCTCTCACAGACACCTGTCTCTCCCTCTCCCAGACACCTGTCTCTCCCTCTCACAGACACCTGTCTCTCCCTCTCATTCTAATTCTCTCATGATTCATACTAGCCCTAACTTCTCTCTCTCTCTTTCTCCACTTCCCTCCCTGTCTGTCCCTTTCATTCTCTCTCCACTCTCCATTCTCTCCCCCCCTCTCTCGCTCTCTCTCTCTCTCTCTCCTCATTGTCATTCTGCCTTGTGGATTTGTGAAATGCCCTACCTGCTTCACTGAGCATTAGCAGAGATGGACGGTCTGCCTACCCAAACATATTTATTATGAATCCTTTATTTAGCCAATGCCCTTGGGTCATCTGGGGCTCTGGGACCCAGTTAAAAGGGCAGAACACACAGGTTGGGTATAAGTTGGGTATAAGGTTATTTACAGGTAGGTTCATCTGATCCTAAATCTATGGTTAAGGGAAACTTTTATCTCAAGCCTGCAGATTGTCCCCACCTTAGATACTAGATTGATATGATCTCTATATTTTATTTCTGCCTGGATGTTGATTAGATTGATGAGGTGTCAGGTTAGTTCAAGGTTGCAACGTATGTTGTTGTGATCGATCATCTTCCAAATACACTGAACAAAAATATTAACGCAACATGCAACAATTTCAAAGATTTGACTGAGTTACAGTTCATATAAGGAAATCAGTCAATTTAAATAAATTCATTAGGCCATAATCTATGGATTTCACATGACTGGGAATACAGATATGGATCTGTTTACATCCCTGTCACAGATACCTTAAAAAAAAGGTAAGGGAGTAGATCAGAAAACCAAACAGTATCTGGTGTGACCACCATTTGCCTCACACAGCTGGACACATTTTAGAGTGGCCTTTTATTGTCCCCAGCACAAGGTGCATCTGTGTAATGATCATGATGTTTTATCAGCTTCTTGATATGCCACACCTGTCAGATGGATGGATTATCTTGGCTAAGGAGAAATGCTCACTAACAGGGATGTAAACAAATTTGTGCACAACATTTGAGAGAAATAAGCTTTTTGTGCTTATGGAACATTACAGGGATCTTTTATTTCAGCTCATGAAACATGGGACCAACACTTTACATGTTGCATTTATACACTACATGACCAAAAGTATTTGGACACCTGCTCGTCTAACATCTCATTCCAAAAACATGGTCAGTAATATGGAGTTGGTCCCCCCTTTGCTGATATAACAGCCTCCACTCTTCTGGGAAGGCTTTCCACTAGATGTTGGAACATTGCTGCGGGGACTTGCTTCCATTCAACCATTCAGGCTGGGCACTGATGTTGGGCGATTAGGCCTGGCTCGCAGTCGGCGTTCCAATTCATCCCAAAGGTCTTCGATGGGGTTGAGGTCAGGGCTCTGTGCAGGCCAGTCAAGTTCTTCCACACCGATCTCGACAAACCCTTTCTGTACGGACCTTTCTTTGTGCACAGGGGCATTGTCAAGCTAAAACAGGAAAGGGCCTTCCCCAAACTGTTGCCACAAAGTTGGAAGCACAGAATCGTCTAGAATGTCATTGTATGCTGTAGTGTTAAGATTTCCCTTCACTGGAACTAAGGGGCCTAGCCCGAACCAGGAAAAACAGCCCCAGACCATTATTCCTCCTCCACCAAACTTTACAGTTGGCACTATGCATTCAGGCAGGTAGCGTTCTCCTGGCATCCGCCAAACCCAGATTCAACCGTCGGACTGCCAGATGGTGAAGCCTGATTAATTACTCCAGAGAACGCGTTTCCACTGCTCCAGAGTCCAATGGAGGCAAGCTTTATACCACTCCAGCCGACGCTTGGCATTGCGCATGGTGATCTTAGGCTTGTGTGCGGCTGTTCGGCCATGGAAACCTATTATATGAAGCTTCCAACGAACAGTTCTTGTGGCATTGCTTCCAGAGGCCGTTTGGAACTCGGTAATGAGTGTTGCAACTGAGGACAGATTATTTTTACTCGCTACGCGCTTCAGCATTTGGCAGTCCCGTTCTGTTTGCTTGTGTGGCCTACCACTTTGCAGCTGAGCCGTTGTTGCTCCTAGACGTTTCTACTTCACATTAACAACACTTACAGTTGACCGAGGAAGCTCTAGCAGGGCAGAAATTTGACGAACTGACTTGTTGGAAAGGTGGCATCCTATGATGGTGCCACGTTGAAAGTCACTGAGCTCTTCAGTAAGGCCATTCTACTGCCAATGATTGGACATGGAGATTGCATGGCTGTGTGCTCGATTTTATACACCTGTCAGTAACGAGTGTGGCTGAAATAGCCGAATCCACTAATTTGAAGGGGTGTCCACATACTTTTGTATACACTGTATATAGTTTATTTTTGTTCAGTGTATAACTAAGAAACTATTTTGAACCATCTTCACAAAGTTCATACTTAAAGTTCATACGGAAGAATGGCATAAGGATGGAGCATCACAAACAATATATTATTAAACTGTTATACTAAGAATCAGAACTCTGCAGCTGGTGAATAAAATATATGTAACTGCTCCTCCATTTAAAAAAATATAGTTTTCTCACCCCACTGACTCTCTCGTCTCAGACCATGCTGACAGCGATCTCCATGAGTGCCATCGCAACGAATGGAGTGGTGCCAGGTGAGTGCGTAACACAGTGTGTGCCTTGGTGAGTGTGTAACACAGTGTGTGCCTTGGTGAGTGCGTAACACAGTGTGTGCCTTGGTGAGTGCATAACAGTGTGTGCCTTGGTGAGTGCGTAACACAGTGTGTGCCTTGGTGAGTGTGTAACACAGTGTGTGCCTTGGTGAGTGCGTAACACAGTGTGTGCCTTGGTGAGTGCATAACAGTGTGTGCCTTGGTGAGTGCGTAACACAGTGTGTGCCTTGGTGAGTGCGTAACTCAGTGTGTGCCAGGTGAGTGCGTAACACAGTGTGTGCCTTGGTGAGTGCGTAACACAGTGTGTGCCAGGTGAGTGCGTAACACAGTGTGTGCCAGGTGAGTGCGTAACACAGTGTGTGCCAGGTGAGTGCGTAACACTGTGTGCCAGGTGAGTGTGTAACACAGTGTGTGCCAGGTAAGTGCGTAACACAGTGTGGGCCAGGTGAGTGCGTAACACAGTGTGTGCCAGGTGAGTGCGTAACACAGTGTGTGCCAGGTGAGTGTGTAACACAGTGTGTGCCAGGTGAGTGCGTAACACAGTGTGTGTCAGGTGAGTGCGTAACACAGTGTGTGCCAGGTGAGTGTGTAACACAGTGTGTGCCTTGGTGAGTGCGTAACACAGTGTGTGCCTTGGTGAGTGCGTAACACAGTGTGTGCCTTGGTGAGTGCGTAACACAGTGTGTGCCAGGTGAGTGCGTAACACAGTGTGTGCTTTGGTGAGTGCGTAACACAGTGTGTGCCAGGTGAGTGCGTAACACAGTGTGTGCCAGGTGAGTGTGTAACACAGTGTGTGCCAGGTGAGTGTGTAACACAGTGTGTGCCAGGTGAGTGCGTAACACAGTGTGTGCCAGGTGAGTGCATAACACAGTGTGTGCCAGGTGAGTGCGTGCGTGGGAGGCCTGGGTGCCACAGGGCAATCCTGTTGTTCTTTTCATGTCCTCTGATATTGCTCAGGTCTGTGGACAGGTAATGCTTAGTCTCGAAAACCCGACCCTATGCAACCGTGACTAGGGACTGGTTTCGACGACGGACTCTTTTGACAACTTTGATGAGAGAAAAAAATAATCTGGGGTGGGTGCTCTTCAGACAGAGAAGTCTCCCAACAAATCACGAGGCAGACATGCCAGAACCTCACGATTCAAAGCCAAAGTTTGCAAGCAAAACCTTTGCAGTGGTTTTAGCAAAGGTAGTTGATGCAAACTAGCCACTTTCGAAATGCACTCATTAAAAATAACCTTTGTGATCTCCATCTTGCTAGCTACTATTTAGTATTTTATTGAAGCAGATAAGGTAATGACGAAGGCAGTGAGGTAGTTTCTCTATGCCAAACGGATGTTCTATTACATACAGACGCTGTTAAGACGAGGCATTTGAAAATTGTGGGAGGCAACGCGGATGTCTAGAGAGACTAGGTAATGCTAGCGTGGCTAAATCAGAACCACACTGTACTAGCACCCCTTCCATCACCTGCACAAAGTCAAAGTGTGAAAGTGTGAAACTATTCTATTCAGAAACTTAGAAACTATTCTGTACCTATCCATAGAACCATAATACTGTGGAGAAAGGCTATAACTCTTTTCAAGCTCTCTCTAACATGCCTAAGCAATGTCTATGCAGCACTATCTTTTTGTTTACAAACTACTGCTTCCGCAGATTCAAGCCCCAAGTCTTTAGACTTTTGTGCAGACCTGGGGTTCATCTTTGAAGACAACGTTGCAGAGATAGAGCCAGAGAGGAATGTCAATGGTTGTGTTTGTGTGTCTCAGCCGGAGGCTCCTACTACATGATCTCCCGTTCCCTGGGGCCTGAGTTTGGCGGAGCTGTCGGAATCTGCTTCTATCTGGGGACTACTTTTGCGGGTGCCATGTACATCCTTGGTGCCATCGAACTTCTGCTGGTAAGGAGAGATGACTGCTATTATGTTATTGTTTTGTTTACTATCTGTTTTGTATTCCTCTGTGCCTTTTCCAGCATTGTATTTTGGGGCGAGATCACAACATTGATTAGTGCAAAGGGAAGATGTGCACTCACATTTCTGTGTTCTTCAGTGTAGATTGTAATGCAAGAGATGAGGATGCCGAAAGCTACCCAATAAATACAATAAATTGAAACGCATTATGTTGATATCTTTTCATTTTAGACAAATATGAAAAGTTGTTGCAATTCCTGAGTGATTTTTCCTTAGAGACATAATATCTCAATTATCATAATTTCATCCAGCGATTTTTCCTTAGAGACATAATAATATCTCAATTATCATGAATTCATCCAGCAAGCTGTCACACTCAGAGCTTTATTTAGATCAGATGCTGAAAATACTAAGTGCATTTCCTTTCATATGCTTGTTCCTTTGTTAGTGCCTTGTCTGTTCTATCATCCACCATCATAAAAAAATACATTATTCATTACGTTTCTCTGATGTCTCCAATGTTTGAGATAATGTCTGATCTCTCTTCTCACACCCTGTCACTCCCTTCCTCCTTTTTCCCCCTTCCTCCTTTTCTGACGCTTGCTCCCATTCTCTCCCTCCATCCTCATCCCTCCCTCTGTCATTTTTTAACACACCCTTTCTCTCCCTCAATCCTATTCTTACTCTCTCCTCTCTTCCCCTCTCATTTTCTCTTCCCTTCCCTTTCTCTCTCTCCCTCCATCTTTCCCTTCTCTAGGTTTACATCCTTCCCCAGGCGGCCATTTTTAAGATGGAGGGGCTAGAAGGGGCTGATATGGAGGCAGCGATGCTGAACAACATGCGCGTGTACGGCACCATTGTGCTCAGTTTCATGGCCACGGTGGTGTTTGTGGGGGTCAAATATGTCAACAAGCTGGCTCTAGTCTTCCTGGCGTGTGTCATTCTGTCCATCCTGGCTGTTTACGCTGGGGTCATCAAGACGGCCTTTGAACCCCCTGTTTTCCCGTAAGTCTGACCTGACTGAGCCTTGTGCTCTTTTCTGCTGTTGCTCACTTAAAGACTGAATCCGCATTAGGGGAAACAGCGCCACTGTTCGCCCCAGCGCCATTGTTATTGTTTTGGTTTTGTTGATGAAAACGGAGGAGAGAAGCATTCGTCATCGTGGGAGAAAGACAATTGCACTGCATATTCTGCAGTCCCATCACACGTGGAATAATGTCCAGGGGGGGGAAAACTGTGTTTGTTGTTTGCAGTAACTTCTTTGTTGTTGTAATATACCAAACAGACATGGGAGTTTGACCAATTCAGGTTTCCAACTTTAAAGTTGTTAGAGCTTTACAAAAAAAAACTAAACAAATGTCATGATGACCCTGTCTCTGGCCATGTTTAATGTTTACTTCATTTACTCAGTCAAGCCATGAGACTTGCATATTTTGTTAATTTCTATGTTAAATGCTTTCCTAACCTCTAAATAGACCAGGGGCTGATGATGTCTTGTCTGTCCTCCCCCTACAGCGTGTGTATCCTGGGGAACCGCACTCTGATCTCCAAGGGATTTGACGTGTGTGCCAAGGTCATTGAGAGGGACAACGGCACGGTCACCACCAAGCTGTGGAAGATTTTCTGCGACTCTGAGTTCCTCAACGCTACCTGTGATGAGTACTTTGCCAACAACAATGTTTCTGAGATCCAGGGCATCCCAGGGGTCAGTAGCGGCATACTGGCTGGTAAGAGGTTCACCATTCAGAACGTATTGTAAGCTAATGTAGTCTGTAGTAGAGAGACATACTGGTACTCCACAAGAGGTATGTAATTATTATGATGTTTGTGCATGTATTTCTCTCCCTTTCCTTTCTCTCTCTCTCTCTCTCTCTCCTTTCGCTCTCTCTCTCTCCTTTCTTTCCCTCTCCTTTCTCTCTCTCTCACTCTCTTTATCTCACTCTCACAGAGAACCTGTTTGGTTACTACCTGGAGAAGGGAGACTTCTTGGAGAAGCGGGGGATCTCAGCCATGCAGGACCCTGACGCTCCCATCACCAACTCCAACCGTTACGTCCTGGCTGACATCACCAGCTTCTTCACCCTGCTGGTGGGGATCTACTTCCCCTCTGTCACAGGTCAGTCACTGCTGGGGTCACAGGTCAGTCACTGGGTCAAGGGTCAGGAGTCACTGCTGGACTAGGCCAATCGTAACCCAAAGGGACAGTATGGGTACGGTATGGGTACAGGCTTTTGTTTCAGCCAAGCAGTAACAAACCTGATTAATCTAATCACCTATATTAAGTTATTATAATTAAATTAAAATTTTACCTTATGATTTCAAAGTAAATACTACATTTAAAAAACCACTGCTCATATACTTTGACTAATACTTTGCACAAGGGCACCCAAGCAAACCAGGGTTAACGGCAGTATAGGATTTCTCACATGAGAAACATAATTCCTATTGTTATATCCACTTTATAGTGACCTGGAAGTCTCTCCACAGTCCCAAATGCAGAGAGAGAGACAGAGAAATACTTTCCAGAACTGATGACACTAGAGGAGCTGAATAAGGCGAAGTTAGATAAAGTGGAATTTCTGCCAAAAACCACATCAGCGGAAAGTCTGGGGAATACATGAGTCACATTCCCACTATCATCCCAGTGGCATAACCGCCGAATAAAATGTCCATCAGTGGCGGCTCCTGAAAAAATTCTCAGGAGGGGCAATTTTTCTGATGATTTAGGTGACCTACACACATTTTTAAAAAGATATGTCCAGCAACAACATGAAGACAGGGGCAGCATATAAGTCAATACCAGAAGCATTTATTGACTGATCTCAAAAGTGTTGGCTTACAAAAGCAAAATAAGTTATCACAGTAAAAATAATCAAGGGTGTTCTTTCACATTCCTCAACACTGCATAAACAATATGTATGGCTTTGTAAAAATGAACAACCATATTCTGGCCAATTGTATAGATTTGTAAATATGAACAACCATATTCTGGCCAATTGTATAGATTTGTAAAAATGAACATGAACAGATTTTTTATTTTTTTGAATGGCAGTACCTTTCAAACATGTCTGCTTGCAGTAAGGTAGCACTCACAAGGTGGCCAGAGAAAGATAACCTTTCTTTGGTGTGATCCAGGATGGTGTTGCAGACCTCTTCAGACAGCCTCTGCTTCTCCTCTTCTCTCAAAGCTGTTCTGGGTCTTTTGGCTCCTGTTGCTTCTTGCAGCTGCTGTTGAGAGGAGTCCCTGAAGGCAAACAGACCAATGTGTTTGTTGGCTTTGTACAGTATTGTTGTCTATGTGATGCACAGGTATATGCAATGTATCCATGTATAGTACAAATACTTCAGTTCCACTTAAAATGGGCAGGGATGCATAAAGTCTTTAGTGTTTAAGTTAGCCTTTGTGTCTCACATAGCCTGGATGTTCAGCACAGTATACAGTGGTGCTCATAAGCTTATGATCCCATGCTAAAGTTGACTAAAAAGAGGAATAAAAAATAAAATAAAATTGGTGTCCTTAAAGGTTGGATTTTCCAACTTTTTTAATTAAGTCATTAAGATCAATTTCCAAAAGATTATTTTTTTATTTTTTTATTCCTCTTTTTAGTCAGCTTTAGAATGTGTTCATACACTTATGAGCACCACTGTACAGTACACATAGTATATAAAATAAGATAGATTACACCACTGGCCATATATAATGAGAATAATGTAATTTCAAACACAAATGCAGTCTCCTTTCATGCATACATTTTCAAATAAAGCTCTGCTTTGAGAAAGATCGAATGATATTGTTTAATCTTTATCTTACCTTATGGCCTGCACACTGCTTGCGAAGCTGTCGAGGGCACGTTTGATAAAGACAGCATCGATGTCCTTCTTCTGTAGCTTCTGGTACGGTGGGCTGGTCAAATGAACCCAATGAACCCGTCCGGATGGCTTCAAAACATTCTATGAGGTCGTCTCGATTCTCGTAGACAGTGTTCACGACTCTGCTGTTGCTAACCTCATCGTTGTGGCGGCGGACAGCTAGCCTGTATCCCTCATCCAGTTGAGTGGCAATATTCACTCTCACCAAAGCAGACAATCTCAAACAGCTATCAATGTGGGTCTTTGACAGCTCATTTTTCTTAATCTTTTCTGAAAGATGGTGCATGTCGGTTACACCAGTCGCTGTCCAAGCGTTGCTGTCTGCCGTTCATGGTTACGTTACGTTACGTATGACGAAAGCGCGTAAGTGCAAGCCCTCAGACACCCATAGAGAATGTATTGAAAGCTCAGAAATTTGAAAAAAAAATATTTTACATTAGAGGCTATGAGAGACTTCTGGGCGATTTTCAACCTGACTGAAATCGCCCCAAAACGGGCGGGGACATTTGAAGCACGACTTTAGCCTGATTGGACATTTAGTGGCTGGCAGATCAAACGTGAACACTGAACTACTGTTGCCGTGATATAATTGATTAGAAAAAAAATCCCTTCCTTTTCCCGTTTGGCAGTGCGTCGCCCATATCGCCCTATTGAACACACCGCCCATGATGTCCATTGTGTACGATCATTTGCTCTGTGACATTAGGATTATCATGTTTTGTGAGAGCTGCTGTTGGGGATGTAAAATGGTTTGTTGAACACAGCACCAGTTTGCTGGATCGTAAAAACAACAAACAAAAAAACACAGTTGCTATTACAAGTAAAATATGAGTTTTGTTTAGGTTGCTAATCGAAAATGCTGTTTGTTTTTTTGTTGGGCCTCCACTATTTCACTTTCAGAAAGCACTTCCTTGCTAGCACAGTAAAAATAAATAAAATAAATAAGTTTAAAAAAACGTGTGAAACAGAGTGTGAAGGATGGGAATTCTTCCTATTTGATCCTGTTTCTCCCCCCCCCCCCTCCCCCCCTCCCCCTCTCTTCTGTCCCTCTGCCTCCCAGGCATCATGGCTGGCTCTAACCGCTCTGGAGACCTGCGCGATGCCCAGAAGTCCATCCCCATAGGCACCATAGCAGCCATTACCACTACTTCTATAGTGTGTATCCTTTACTACAGTAAATACTGACAGTCTTACTGGAGCGGTCCGTGGTGCTGAAATCTGTTTTTTTTACCTTCTCTGGGACTACTGATGAAAATACGCTGGAATGTTACCTATAATATGTGTGATGTTTGTATAGATAATATGAAGCATTTGATCCTTCATTTAGGTTTAGGTTTTGTAAATGCTTAACGTTTTTTGGGAGACATTTTGTACTAAAGCCTGTAGGTACAGTGTATGTGTATTTTTTTCTTTTTTTATTATGGATCCCCATTAGCTGTTGCCAAGGCAGCAGCTACTCTTCCTGGGGTCCAGCTAAATTAAGGCAGTTATATACAATTAAAAATACATTTCATAACACTTTTCACAACGCATTAAGTGTGTGCTCTCAGGTCACTACTCTACTTCTACATATCTACAATACAAAATCCATGTGTATGTGTGTGTAGAGTGTGTGTGTTAGCATGTCTATGTGTATGCCTGTGTCTGTGCCTGTGTGTGTGTCTCTTTACAGTCCCCGCTGTTCCGTAAGGTGTATTTGTATCAGTTTTTAGAAAATCTGATTCTACTGCTTGCATCAGTTACTTGATGTGGAATAGAGTTCCATGTAGTCATGGCTCTATGTAGTACTGTGCGCCTCCCATAGTCTGTTCTGGACTTGGGGATTGTGAAGAGACCTCTGGTGGCATGTCTTGTGGGGTATGCATGGGTGTCCGAGCTGTGTGCTAGTAGTTTGAACAGACAGCTTGGTGTATTCAACATGTCAATACTTCTTACAAAAACAAGTAGTGATGATGTCAATCTCTCCTCTACTTTAAGCCATCAGAGACTGACATACATATTGTTAATGTTAGCTCTCCATGTACATTTAAGGGCCAGTCCTTCTTTCTGGCACCTGACCACACGACTGGACAGTAAGTCCAGGTGAGACAAAACTAAGGCCTGTAGGACCTGCCTTGTTGATAGTGTTGTTAAGAAGGCAGAGCAGCGCTTTATTATAGACAGACCTCTCCCCATCTTAGCTACTGTTGCATCAACATGTTTTGACCATGACAGTTTACAATCCAGGGTTACTCCAAGCAGTTTAGTCACCTCAACTTGCTCAATTTCCACATTATTCATTACAAGATTTAGTTGAGGTTTAGGGTTTAGTGAATGATTTGTATCAAATACAATGCTTTTAGTTTTATAAATATTTAGGACTAACTTATTTCTTGCCACTCATTCTGAAATGGACTGCAGCTCTTTGTTAAGTGTTGCAGTAATTTCACTCGCTGTAGTAGCTGACATGTATTGTGTTGAGTCATCCGCATACAAAGACACACTGGCTTGACTCAAAGCCAGTGGCAGGTCATTAGTAAAGATTTAAAAATGTAAGGGGCCTAGACAGCTGCCCTGGGGAATTCCTGATTCTAACTGGATGATGTTGGAGAGGCTTCCATTAAAGAACACCCTCTGTGTTCTGTTAGACAGGTAACTCTTTATCCACAATATAGCAGGGGGTGAAAAGCCATAACACATACGTTTTTACAGCAGCAGACTATGATCGATAATGTCTAAAGCCGCACTGAAGTCTAACAAAATAGCTCCCACAATCTTTTTATCATCAATTTCTCTCAGTCACTTCACGGAATTCAAAATTACAATGCTTGTCTTTCATAATTTGGTCAGTTATACTTGGATGTGTAGTGTCGGCATTGGTTGCTGGCATGTCATGCCTAAGTTTGCTAATCTTGCCAATGAAAAAATCATTAAAATAGTTGGCAATATCAGTGGGTTTTGTGATGAATGAGTCATCTGATTCAATTAATGATGAGCTGAGTTTGCCTTTTTGCCCAAAATGTCATTTAAAGTGCTCCAAAGCTTTTTACTATCATTCTTTATATCATGTATCTTTGTTTCATAGTGTAGTTTCTTCATCTTTTTATTCAGTTCAGTCACATGATTTCTCAATTTGCAGTTTGTTTTTTGTGCAGACAGACTTACAGTGGGGAAAAAAAGTATTTAGTCAGCCACCAATTGTGCAAGTTCTCCCACTTAAAAAGATGAGAGATGCCTGTCATTTTCATCATAGGTACACGTCAACTATGACAGACAAATTGAGAAAAGAAAATCCAGAAAATCACATTGTAGGATTTTTTATGAATTTATTTGCAAATTATGGTGGAAAATAAGTATTTGGTCACCTACAAACAAGCAAGATTTCTGGCTCTCACAGACCTGTAACTTCTTCTTTAAGAGGCTCCTCTGTCCTCCACTCGTTACCTGTATTAATGGCACCTGTTTGAACTTGTTATCAGTATAAAAGACACCTGTCCACAACCTCAAACAGTCACACTCCAAACTCCACTATGGCCAAGACCAAAGAGCTGTCAAAGGACACCAGAAACAAAATTGTAGACCTGCACCAGGCTGGGAAGACTGAATCTGCAATAGGTAAGCAGCTTGGTTTGAAGAAATCAACTGTGGGAGCAATTATTAGGAAATGGAAGACATACAAGACCACTGATAATCTCCCTCGATCTGGGGCTCCACGCAAGATCTCACCCCGTGGGGTCAAAATGATCACAAGAACAGTGAGCAAAAATCCCAGAACCACACAGGGGGACCTAGTGAATGACCTGCAGAGAGCTGGGACAAATAATAATAATAATAATAATATGCCATTTAGCAGACGCTTTTATCCAAAGCGACTTACAGTCATGCGTGCATACATTTTTTGGACAAAAGTAACAAAGCCTACCATCAGTAACACACTCCGCCGCCAGGGACTCAAATCCTGCAGTGCCAGACATGTCCCCCTGCTTAAGCCAGTACATGTCCAGGCCCGTCTGAAGTTTGCTAGAGTGCATTTGGATGATCCAGAAGAGGATTGGGAGAATGTCATATGGTCAGATGAAACCAAAATAGAACTTTTTGGTAAAAACTCAACTTGTCGTGTTTGGAGGACAATGAATGCTGAGTTGCATCCAAAGAACACCATACCTACTGTGAAGCATGGGGGTGGAAACATCATGCTTTGGGGCTGTTTTTCTGCAAAGGGACCAGGACGACTGATCCGTGTAAAGGAAAGAATGAATGGGGCCATGTATCGTGAGATTTTGAGTGAAAACCTCCTTCCATCAGCAAGGGCATTGAAGATGAAACGTGGCTGGGTCTTTCAGCATGACAATGATCCCAAACACACCGCCTGGGCAACGAAGGAGTGGCTTCGTAAGAAGCATTTCAAGGTCCTGGAGTGGCCTAGCCAGTCTCCAGATCTCAACCCCATAGAAAATCTTTGGAGGGAGTTGAAAGTCCGTGTTGCCCAGCGACAGCCCCAAAACATCACTGCTCTAGAGGAGATCTGCATGGAGGAATGGGCCAAAATACCAGCAACAGTGTGTTAAAACCTTGTGAAGACTTACAGAAAACGTTTGACCTGTGTCATTGCCAACAAAGGGTATATAACAAAGTATTGAGAAACTTTTGTTATTGACCAAATACTTATTTTCCACCATAATTTGCAAATAAATTAATAAAAAATCCTACAATGTGATTTTCTGGATTTGTTTTCCTCATTTTGTCTGTCATAGTTGACGTGTACCTATGATGAAAATTACAGGCCTCTCTCATCTTTTTAAGTGGGAGAACTTGCACAATTGGTGGCTGACTAAATACTTTTTTTCCCCACTGTATTTGCCATTCCTTTTGCCTCATCCCTCTCAATCATACAATTTTTCCATTCCTTATCAATCCACAGGCATTTAACCATTTTTACAGACATTTTCTTAATGGATGCATGCTTATTCGTAACTGGAATAAGCAATTTCATAAATGTGTCAAGTGCAGCGTCCTGTTGCTCCTCATTGTGTATTGTGTGTATTGTGAGGTCTGTGTGTGTATTGTGAGGTCTGTGTGTGTATTGTGAGGTCTGTGTGTGTGTTCCTTCACTGCTCCTCTCAGACATGTCTGCCGTGGTCCTGTTTGGGGCCTGTATTGAAGGGGTGGTCCTGAGGGACAAGTGAGTTATTTCTATTCCACTCTACATCCACTTCCTGTATTACTATAGCTAGCATCGCTGCCTCGTGAGTCTTGCCCATCTCAAAATCAATACTCTCCCACTGTGGTCCTCTGTAGCTCAGCTGGTAGAGCACGGCGCTTGTAACGCCAAGGTAGTGGGTTCGATCCCCGGGACCACCCATACACAAAAATGTATGCACACACGACTGTAAGTCGCTTTGGATAAAAGCGTCTGCTAAATGGCATATTATTATTATTATTATTATAATTGTCCATGTAATCAGATGCAACACATAGAAAAACAAATAATACTCAAAGAACTTGATTGAGAATGCAAAATAGTTGTGCGCACTGAATTTGTGCCGCAATGGACAGTGGACGAGGCCAGTTGTTATGGCAAAAACACTCAATGAAAAAGGCAACTTATATCTGTCTCTCTGACTTCAGGTTTGGTGAGGGGGTGGATGGTAACCTTGTGATTGGTACCCTGGCGTGGCCTTCACCATGGGTGATCGTGATTGGTTCCTTCTTCTCCACCTGTGGGGCGGGGCTTCAGAGTTTGACTGGCGCGCCACGCCTCCTGCAGGCCATCTCCCGCGATGGCGTCATCCCTTTCCTTAAAGTGAGTAAACACACACACACACTCACACACATACACACACACTTGCACTATCTACTTCGTGGAGTGGTCAATCAGTGGACATTGGTAATTATCTGTATAGATTATACTGCATACTATTACCAGAACCACTGCTTCTACTGTTCTAATACCATCAAGACAATTTCTCTGTTTGTTCAGAGCAATGTAGGTCCACTCTCGTCAAATAGCCCTCAAGTGTGTCGGGGCTAGCAGTGATTACTAATGCATGGTCCTACTATAGTCCAGGCTCAGGTTGACTTGCTGTGACAGGAGCTGTCTGTCCCCCTCACTGATTAAATGAGGAACAGTGACCCAGACTGAGCAGACATGTCTAACGTGTGATAACGGGACAATAGGGACGATAGTGATTAATCATCCTGCAGCAAGGACCAGTGTGACCTGAATGAGAGGACGAGAAGGGCTGAAACTCCTGCAGTCCACTCAACTTTATACTACAATGTGCTGTGCTATAGGTTCAGGTGTGCGTGTGTGCGTGCATGCAGGTGTGGGTGTATGTGTGTGTGTGAGTGTGTTAATAGTTCATTTATCACTGTTGTGCGTTGTCTGTAGGTGTTTGGGCATGGCAAGGCCAACGGGGAGCCTACCTGGGCCCTGCTCCTCACAGCCAGTATCTGTGAGATCGGCATCATCATCGCCTCTCTGGACGCTGTTGCCCCCATCCTCTCCATGTAAGACAACTACACATCTAATATACAGTTGAAGTCGGAAGTTTACATACACCTTAGCCAAATACATTTAAACTCAGTTTTTCACAATTCCTGACATTTTATCCTAGTAAAAACTCCCCGTCTTAGGTCAGTTGGGATCCCCACTTTATTTTAAGAATGTGAAATGTCAGAATAATAGTAGAGATAATGATTTATTTCAGCTTTTATTTCTTTCATCGCATTCCCAGTGGGTCAGAAGTTTACATACACTCAATTAGTTTTTGGTAGCATTGCCTTTAAATGGTTTAACTTGGGTCAAACGTTTCGAGTAGCCTTCCACAAGCTTCCCACAATAAGTTGGGTGAATTTTGGCCCATTCCTCCTGATAGAGCTGGTGTAACCGAGTCAGGTTGGTAGGCCTCCTTGCTCGCACACGCTTTTTCAGTTCTGCCCACAAATGTTCTATAGGATTGAGGTCAGGGCTTTGTGATGGCCACTCCAATACCTTGACTTTGTTGTCCTTAAGCCATTTTGCCACAACTTTGGAAGTATGCTTGGGGTCATTGTCCATTTGGAAGACCCATTTGCGACCAAGCTTTAACTTCCTGACTGATGTCTTGAGATGTTGCTTCAATATATCCACATAATTTTCCTTCCTCATGATGCCATCTATTTTGTGAAGTACACTAGTCCCTCCTGCAGCAAAGCACCCCCACAGCATGATGCTGCCACCCCCGTGCTTCACGGTTGGGATGGTGTTCTTTGGCTTACAAGCCACCCACTTTTTCCTCCAAACATAACGATGGTCATTATGGCCAAACAGTTCTATTTCTGTTTCATCAGACCAGAGGACATTTCTCAAAAAAGCGCAATCTTTGTCCCCATGTGCAGTTGCAAACCGTAGTCTGGCTTTTTTATGGCGGTTTTGGAGCAGTGGCTTCTTCCTTGCTGAGCGTCCTTTCAGGTTATGCCGATATAGGACTTGTTTTACTGTAGATATAGATACTTTTGAACCTGTTTCCTCCAGCATCTTCACAAGGTCCTTTGCTGTTGTTCTGGGAGTACGTTAATCTCTAGGAGACAGAATGCGTCTCCTTCCTGAGCGGTATGACGGCTGCGTGGTCCCATGGTGTTGATCCTTGCATACTATTGTTTGTACAGATGAACGTGGTACCTTCAGGTGTTTGGAAATTGCTCCCAAGGATAAAACAGACTTGTGGAGGTCTACAATTATTTTTCTGAAGTCTTGGCTGATTTCTTTTGATTTTCCCATGATGTCAAGCAAAGAGGTAGGCCTTGAAATACATCCACAGGTACACCTCCAATGGACTCAAATGATGTCAATTAGCCTATCAGAAGCTTCTAAAGCCATGACATAATTTTCTGTAATTTTCCAAGCTGTTTAAAGGCACAGTCAACTTAGTGTATGTAAACTTCTGACCCACTGGAATTGTGATACAGTGAATTATAAATTAAATAATCTGTCTGTAAACAATTGATGGAAAAATTACTTGTCATGCACAAAGTAGATGTCCTAACCAACTTGCCAAAACTATAGTTTGTTAACAAGAAATGTGTGGAGTGGATGAAAAATGAGTTTTAATGACTCCAACCTAAGTGTATGTAAACTTCGGACTTCAACTGTATACTCTGCTTCCCCTGAACACACTATGGAGATGGTTATGTCTTGGTAGCAAGTATAGGTTGTTCTGAGTTCTTCTTTCTCTCTCTGTGTAGGTTCTTCTTGATGTGCTACATGTTTGTCAACCTGGCCTGTGCCCTGCAGACTCTGCTGAGAACCCCCAACTGGAGGCCTCGCTTCAAGTTCTACCACTGGTGAGTTAATGTCACGCTCGTCGATGAGAGAGGACCAAGGCGCAGCGTTACGAGCGAACATATTTATTATTTAAACGTACACACGAACAAAACAACGAAAACGTGACGTCTATGGTACAACATGAAACCACACGAACAAAATCCCACAAACACAAGGTGAACACAGACAGTTTAAATATGGCTCCCAATCAGAGATAACGAGCCGACAGCTGACACTCGTTACCTCCGATTGGGAGTCATTGACCAAATAAGGGAAACACAAAACCAATGACCACCCAACCAAACAAAACCCAACCAAAACGAACACACCCTGGCTCAAAATACAAAGTCCCGGAGCCAGAGCGTGACAGTACCCCCCCCTAAAGGCGCGGACTGCGACCGCGCCTCAAAACCCCAAATAGGGGAGGGCTGGGTGGGTGTTGCTCCTCGGAGGCGGCTCCGGCTCCGGGCTTGACCACCACCCTACTTCAATCCCCGCATAACGGCCCCGATCCGATCTGACCCAGCTGGCTGGATCAGGACTGACGACGCGCACCCCTGGCTTAGCGCGTGAGGCAGGAACGGACCGGACCTGGCTGACGATACGCACCCTAGGCTTGGTGCGTGGAGCCGGAACGGACCTCACCAGGCTGACGACTCGCATCCCTGGCTTGGTGCGAGTAGCAGGAATGGGCTGGACCGGGCTGACGACTCGCACCCTTGGCTTGGTGCGAGTAGCAGGAACGGGCTGAACCAGGCTGACGACTCGCACCCTTGGCTTGGTGCGAGTAGCAGGAACGGGCTGAACCAGGCTGACGACTCGCACCCTTGGCTTGGTGCGAGTAGCAGGAACGGGCTGGACCAGGCCGACGACTCGCATCCCTGGTTTGGTGCGAGTAGCAGGAACGGGTTGAACCAGGCTGGCGACTCGCACCCCTGGTTTGGTGCGAGTGGCAGGAACAGGCCGAGCTGGGCTGGCGACGCACCCCGTAGGCTTTGTGCGTGGAGCAGGAACAGGCCGAGCTGGGCTGGCGACGCGCACCACAGACTCGGTGCGGAGCGCAGGAACGTGCCGGGCTGGGCTGGCGACGCGCACCACAGACTCGGTGCGGAGCGCAGGAACGGACCGGGCTGGGCTGTCGACGCACACCGTAGGTTTGGTGCGGGGAGCAGGAATAGACCGGACCGTACTGGGGACACACACCACTGGCTCTACACCGGGATCTGGAACGGCCCGGACCGGACTGGCAACACACGCCAGTACCTCTCGCCGTGCCTCTACACCTACCATCCCCTCTTCTACCAGTGGCCCCCGTAACCTGGCGGCCTCCTCTGCAACCCCGCTGGACCGCTCCATAGCGGCCTCCTGCTGCCCCGACGTCGTGAGCCCCCCCCTAAAAATTTTCTGGGGGTCTCTCCAGGCCTCCAACATTCTCTCCCATCTCTCGCTCCTCTGTCTCCAACCCTCTTCACTTAGCTCCTCCATGGGCTTGACCCAATCGAAGCTGCCACGGAGATCTATTAGCGATGGCTCTTGGACACGCTGCTTGGTCTGGTCTTGGTGGGATTTTCTGTCACGCTCGTCGATGAGAGAGGACCAAGGCGCAGCGTTACGAGCGAACATATTTATTATTTAAACGTACACACGAACAAAACAACGAAAACGTGACGTCTATGGTACAACATGAAACCACACGAACAAAATCCCACAAACACAAGGTGAACACAGACAGTTTAAATATGGCTCCCAATCAGAGATAACGAGCCGACAGCTGACACTCGTTACCTCCGATTGGGAGTCATTGACCAAATAAGGGAAACACAAAACCAATGACCACCCAACCAAACAAAACCCAACCAAAACGAACACACCCTGGCTCAAAATACAAAGTCCCGGAGCCAGAGCGTGACAGTTAAACAACTCAACATAGAAGACATAGCTCTCAATCTTAGCCATGGGATCATCGCCAAAGAGCGCCGCTTAGCTAATATTTTCAGGTGTGAAACAGTCTACTATAGCATTTGTGTTTTGCACTGGATAACAGGCCAGACCAAGTAGGTTCCTGTTAGGAAGCTGTTATTTACCTGAGTAGTCTGCCAGAGACACTGTGGGAATCTGGAGCCTGTCTTAGTCTATAATGATCCTCTATTGGCTCGAACGCAACAACAGCAGACAGAGAGACAAGATATCCTGTCTCCAATCTGTGACCATTATTATAAATCCTTGAGTGGTGTGACTGTCGCAGCAACAAGCAACAGACTGAGGATTTAACTTCCTGTCCCTCTCCCCCACAGGGCTCTCTCCTTCCTGGGCATGAGCTTGTGTCTGTCACTCATGTTCATCTGTTCCTGGTACTACGCCATTGTTGCCATGGTGATCGCTACCTGCATCTACAAATACATTGAGTTCGCTGGGTGAGTGAGCTTCCAACCTTGGACTACAAAGCAGAAAAAATAATATATATATACACACACTACCAGTCAAAAGTTTGGACACACCTACTCATTCAAGGGTTTTTCTTTATTTTTACAATTTTTTATATTGTAGAATAATAGTGAAGACATCAAAACTATGAAATAACACATGGAATCATGTAGTAACCAAAAAAGTGTTAAACAAATCAAAATATATTTTATATTTGAGATTCTTCAAATAGCCACCCTTTGCCTTGATGACAGCTTTGCACACTCTTGGCATTCTCTCAACCACCTTCATGAGGTAGTCACCTGGAATGCATTTCAATTAACAGGTGTGCCTTCTTAAAAGATAATTATTGGAATTTATTTCCTTCTTAATGCGTTTGAGCCAATCAGTTGTGTTGTGACAAGGTAGCGGTGTTATACAGAAGATAGCCCTATTTGGTAAAAGACCAAGTACATATTATGGCAAGAACAGCTCAAATAAGCAAAGAGAAACGACAGTCCATCATTACTGTAAGACATGAAGGTCAATACGGAACATTTCAAGAACTTTGAAAGTTTCTTCAAGTGCAGTCGCAAAAACCATCAAGCGCTATGATGAAACTGTCTCTCATGAGGACCACCACAGGAATGGAAGACCCAGAGTTACCTCTGCTGCCAAGGATAAGTTCATTAGAGTTACCAGCCTCAGAAATTGCAGCCCAAATAAATGCTTCACAGAGTTCAAGTCACAGACACATCTCAACATCAACTGTTCAGAAGGAACTGTGTGAATCAGGCCTTCATGGTCGAATTGCTAAAAAGAAACCACTACTAAAGGACACCTATAAGAAGAAGAGACCTGCTTGGGCAAAGAAACACGAGCAATGCACATTAGACTGGTGGAAAGTTGTCCTTTGGTCTGGAGTCTAAATTGGAGATTTGTGGTTCCAACCGCCGTGGCTTTTCTTTTTGTAGGGGGTAGATCAGCTTTAATATTGCAGATAGATTGTAACTTCCATCAATGTAATTGTCTGCATCACTTCCAGTGTGACTTGAATGAGAGGACGAGAGGGGATGAGACGCGGTGTGTTTGAACGGATGATCTCTGCATGTGTATTTTGTTGAAGTCAGCTCCGTAAAGGACACCTATAAGAAGAAGAGACCTGCTTGGGCCAAGAAACACGAGCAATGGACATTAGACTGGTGGAAAGTTGTCCTTTGGTCTGGAGTCGGCTAGTTCCCACCGTAAAGCATGAAGGAGGAGGTGTTATGGTGTGGGGGTGCCAGCATGGCTACCACAGCATTCTGCAGCGATATGCCATCCCATCTGGTTTGGGCTTAGTGGGACTATCATTTGTTTTTCAACAGGACAATGACCCAACACACCTCCAGGCTGTGTAAGGGCTATTTTACCAAGAAGGAGAGTGATTGAGTGCTGCATCAGATGACCTCTCCTCCACAATCCCCCGACCTAAACCCAATTGAGATGGTTTGGGATGAGTCTGACGGCAGAGTGAAGGAAAAGCAACCAACAAGTGCTAAGCATATGTGGGAACTCCTTCAAGACTGTTGGAAAAGCATTCCAGGTGAAGCTGGTTGAGAGAATGCCAAGAGTGTTCAATGCTGTCATCAAGGCAAAGGGTGGCTATTTGAAGAATCTCAGATATAAAATATATTTTGATTTGTTTAACACTTTTTTGGTTTCTAAATGATTCCATGTGTTATTTCATAGTTTTGATGTCTTCACTATTATTCTACAATGTAGAAAATAGTAAAAAATAAAGAAAAACCCTTGAATGAGTAGGTGTGTCCAAACTTTTGACTGGTACTGTATATGCCTTCAAATTGGGGGGTTTCCCAGAGCCAAGACCCATGACAGACTTGGCTGAGTCTAGAGAGAAATGCGGTCTTTCTCTGTTTTCTTTGCAATTTATCCTGATTCTGTTGGCAGAGGGTTATCAAGTTGTATTAGCTTAGGGACACTGATTCATGTGGCTGCTTTGAGAAAAACACAGGGAGTATACATTAATGTACCAGCACTCTTGTTATTCTCACACATGAGCTATCAAAAAATATATGTTAATGAAATGTAAATCAAACTGGAGATTTTCAAATACAATGGTTAAACACTGTTGGGATGTTCTCATGTTCACACTCACAGGCTATTAAACACACATACTAAGCATCAGTGAACATTTCAGTTCATTGATGGTTAATTGGCTCGAACTCTCTGCTCGGTGGTGTGTGACAGGGCGGAGAAGGAGTGGGGAGATGGTATACGTGGCATCTCACTCAGCGCTGCTCGCTTCGCCCTCATGAGACTGGAGGAGGGACCGCCTCACACCAAGAACTGGAGGTCAGTGAGTCACAGAGAGGGGTACTCACAACTACAAGATACACTGATATTATTATGCAAGCTTTAGTCATCATCTGTATCATACTGAACTCAAGGGAAATGTATTGATTATATTGAAATTTGATATCATGAAATGTAAAAACAGACATTACATCAACAGGCCATGTCTATAGTATTTCTGCCCGGTTTCCAGCTTTAGTCTCTCTGTAAATCTGAATGTGACTGATTGTTGATATTCTTGCTTGTTAGGCCTCAGATTATGGTTCTGGTGAGTGTGGATTCAGAACAGAATGTGGAGCAGCCCCGTCTGCTGTCCCTGACCAATCAGCTGAAAGCAGGAAAAGGCCTAACCATCGTGGGTACCTCAGTGGTGGGCACCTTCCTCAACAACCATGCAGAGGCCCAGAAGGCAGACCAGGTCAGTACTGTCTGAGACACACACACACACACACACACACACACACACACACACACACAAACACACTGATGAATAATTGATGAATCATTTATAACACCCTGGTCTCTGCCCATGCCCTTCTCCCACTGTGTGCTCCAGTCTCTGAGGAAGCTGATGGAGACAGAGAAGGTGAAGGGTTTCTCCCAGGTGGTGATCTCCTCCAACCTGAGGGATGGAACCTCCCACCTGATCCAGGTCGGGGGGCTGGGAGGCCTGAAGCACAACACTGTGCTGGTCAGCTGGCCACGCACCTGGAAACAGGCAGAGGACAACCTGCGCTTCAGGAACTTCATCGGTGAGTTACAGAGGTGGTCAGAGGGGAGGTTTTTCATTATGCTAAGTATGCTTTGGGAAGGCTTTTGGGTGCTATCCTCATTATATGCTAACTAATGTTCAACACCTCTGCAGAGGTGGTTAGGGAGACGACTGCAGCCAGCATGGCTCTGTTGGTCCCTAAGAACATCGCTGCCTACCCGTCAAACGGAGAGCGCTTCACTGAAGGCCACATTGATGTGTGGTGGATCGTCCATGATGGAGGCATGCTGATGCTGCTGCCCTTCCTTCTCCGCCAGCACAAGGTGGGATCCCACTTTGGGATTTGGAGAGATAACACGTTTTTCAGTGTTTGTTATTGAGCGATCAGCCATAGACTTCCTTGCTTTGACAGGTTTGGAGGAAGTGTAAGATGCGTATCTTCACCGTGGCCCAAATGGACGACAACAGCATCCAGATGAAGAAAGACCTGATCACCTTCCTGTATCACCTGCGTATCGATGCCGAGGTCGAGGTGGTGGAAATGGTGAGACAAAAACGTTTGATTTTTTAAAACTGATATGCTCCATAAGGTGATTTGTTGGTGAGAGCAATGGCAGTTCAGTCAAATAATGTGCAATGATATGTTTTAACACCCATTTGCCTTTTTAGCATGACAGTGACATCTCAGCCTATACATATGAGAAGACCCTGGTGATGGAGCAGCGCTCCCAGATCCTCAAACAGATGCACCTCACCAAAAACGAGATGGAGAGAGAGGTAAGCCCTGACACATCCCACCTCTAATGTATAATTCATACATAGGTAACTGACTAGGATTTCATATTACCAGTGTGGTTGTTAGCGATCACTAAACAAAGCCATAGTGGCCAAAAGGAAGCTCCTATGGTTTATCTAATACCTTTTAGTACCACTTGTGTTGAATAAAACAATGCCCTTATAGAAAATCTGAAGGTTTTTTAGCTCACCTCTACCTTGTTATTTGAATTCAACCAGCCATCATCACTCACTGAATTTGAAATGCCAGCAACAGGGCAAGGCAGCAGGGGAATTATTATAATTACTGAGCTAGGTTTAAAATGTAATCTGTGTGTCTGCACTTGCACGGTCTGATCTGTCTCATTAATCAAGAAAGCAGACTGAACAATAATAACATCAGATAAGATCAAGCATGAGGACTTACAGAAAAACCTGTGTGATCTTACAATGACGTTTCCACTTCACAAACAAGTATTCATTCTATAATGTCATGCTTTTCAAAAATTTACTGAAAGACACACGCTACAGATTTGTCAACATATGCATCTAATCTGGCTTTGCATTGAGCTATCCACCCCTCAGATATAATCTGTCAAGTATTGACACATTGCTTCTCTATGATTTTCGGAAGTGTTGTACCAATCATTTACATCTCTGGACTCAAAGTCTAATGTTTGAGCTCGTGGTCTCTCTTTAAAACCCTTGCTGCTTTGATTTCCACAGATCCAGAGCATCACTGATTCATCCCGTGGTTCTATCCGTCGTAAGAACCCGTCTAACCTGCAGTCTCAGCAGAGCAGTGAGGAGCCGGCAGGAGTCAGCATGGAAGAGAAACCAGAGGAAGAGGTACAGAAGTGTCCTCATACCTAACTCTCTGATCAACCTTTGTACTATGTGTAAAGGATGTCACTCTGCTTGCTTAGCGAGCACCGATTCTTCCTGATTCGGCTCACACCTAGGCTCCAACCCAGGACCTGTGCCTTGCTTACACACGAGACCGCCCTCCTAAAGTATCTTACCAGTGAGCGCCATGCGAAAAGCTAGCTCTTCGCTGGCGCAAGTGAGGACACTTCAGGCTGAGGAGTGAGTTTCACACATCCCCATGTGCTACATTCACCCCTAAAACTTACTCAATAGCAACCCCAGTGTTGAGCTGAGCACAACTGTAGATCCGAGTCCCTAGGCACCACTGTAAAGGACATCACGCTGCTTGCTTAGAGAGTACCACTTCCTCCTGATTTGGCTCACACCGAGCCTCAAACCCAGGACCTGTGCCTTGCTAGCACACGTGACCGTCCTCCTAAAGCGTCTTACCAGTCAGCGCCACGCAAAACGCTAGCTATTCGCTGGCGCAAGTGGGGACACTTCAGGCTGAGGAGTACGTTTCACACATCCCCATGAGCTAAATGTGCACTACTCTATCTGTCTTTCATTCTGCTGTGTTTAAATGTTCCTATTATTTCTCACCTTCTCTCTCATCCACTGCATTTTTCTTTGTTCGATGTCTGTCATCTCTAGGCCTACTGCATTACCTCATCCTCTATCAAAATGCCAATTCTCTCACTTTGACATTGTCCTCTGGCGTGTAGCATTTTCAGGGGACCTTTTCCTCTACAGCATAAAGAAGGGATATGACAGAACAGCATCTTACCTAGTTGCTTTGCTACAGTGCCCCAATTGTGCTTTCAATTCACCGTCCAGTGGTGGTCTGGTCTTTTTATTGCGTCACCCCAACTGACAGGTGTCTCTTTCTTTTCTTCACCCTGTCACGTTATCGTGTGGTGTCCCTCTCTTAGTCTGTGGCTGTCTCCCGCCCTAAACAGGTGCAGCTGATCCACAATAAGAATGCTACCCCCACGTCCCCCACTACACCCGCAGGGAGCGCTGCCACCCCCGGGTCGGAGGTGCAGATGACCTGGACAGACAAGGCTGAGACCCAGGCCACAGCATGTCATCCAGAGCAGGGTGGGGTCAAAGACATCTTCAACATGAAGCCGTGAGTCTGCTGTCACTTTCACTTTCAATCACCTGTCCAAAGGCTTGTGTGGACTTCCGCTACGCTCTTAGAAAAAAAGGTGCTATCTAGAACCTTAAAAAGGTTATTCGGCTGTCCCCAGAGGAGAACCCTTTGAAGAACCCCTTTTGGTTTCAGGTAGAACGCTTTTGGCTCCATGTAGAACCATTTTGGGTTCAATGTAGAACCCTTTCCACAGAGGGTTCTACAGAGGGTTCTAAAAGGGTTCTACCTGGAACCAAAGAGAGTTCTCCTTTGGGGACAGCCGAAGAACCCTTTTGGAACCCTTTTTTCTAAGAGTGTACTTCTAAAGTAAATAGAAAATAAGGACAAAGTATTTATAGGTTGTTACTGTTGGGGGGTGGCTGTGGTTTATAAGCTAGTTTCAGGGGTAATACCACAAAGGTTTGAAAGGCTTTGAGTGTCATCCGCACAACACAACTTCTCAATGTAAGTCCAGTATTGTAAAGAGTCATCTCTGCATTGTCATTCTCTTCCTACCATGCTGCAGGGAGTGGGAGAGCCTGTAAGTATTATATTGTCATGATGTTTCAATGTTTTCCATGCATGTTGTGAAATAGCAGTAATGATGCAACATGCATCCTGTACTGTACTCCTGTCTGTCCCTTCAGGAACCAGTCCAACGTGAGGCGCATGCACACAGCACTGAGGCTCAATGAGGTCATCATGAAGAAGTCCAAGGAGGCCAAGCTGGTGCTGCTTAACATGCCTGGACCACCCAAGAACTGCATGGGAGAGGAAAACTGTATCCTATCACATCTTTGGCATGATATGTTATATTATAGACTTCTTTATTATATAACTTAATATTATAACAATACATAGCTTCTGTCATAAATGTAAGTGAAACCAAAGGGCTCAACAGGATAGATAGCATGAATAGGCTACAAAAGCCAGTTGTGAAAACTTGCTTATTCCTTAACTCTAATCCTCTCTCAGATATGGAGTTCCTGGAGGTCCTCACCGAGGGTCTCAACCGGGTCCTCCTAGTACGTGGTGGTGGACGCGAGGTCATCACCATCTACTCCTGAGAAACCTCAAATCAAACCCCTTCACCTTGCATCTTAATGGTTTATGGCCCCTGCTTCCACTCCCCCTGCACCTTTACTTCAGTCATATCCCTGACATCCCACCAACACCCCTCCACACACACCCCCATCCCATAACATATCAGCTGACTTTGCACTACGTAGTTAGTACCCCCCCCCCCAAGGCACCAGCTGAATTCTCATTGACTCTCAGTCACCTCTACCAGCATCATGTCTGCTCCTCTCATCATTTAGAAAGCTGTGGCATCAAACCGGTTTAGGTTCTTCAATGGCTATCAGATCACTAGATGTCAAATGGCACATGAGTTTCTTCTTATACAAAGGAGTGGACATATTCAAAAGACAAATGATTCCCCAAACTAAAGGTCATTGTTTGGTAGACCAGACGTTTTTTCTCTGTTTGTCCTTGTGTTTTATTTTACCTGTCTGTCAATCTTGTTGCTTTTTTTCTTATTTTTTTAGGAATGTGGGTTACTTGCAAGAGAAGGATGGACATCTTCTCATTGCTGGTCTATTTAAATGTATTTATTTATTCATTTATTTTGAGAAAACAGTTAATATGTTTTTTGTTGTGCATTTGTTGTTGTGCATTTGGTTGTTTATGTTTTGTACGATATGATGTGTTGAAGACATTGAGGGAAGGTCGAGAATTCATCTGTCATCATCAACATGTCTTCCTATGGATTGTCACCTTGAGAACAAGGTCAGTTGAGGACACCTGAGGAGCAGCGAAGTCTATTACATTCTGAAGGAAGGAAAAGAGAGAGAGAGAGAGAGAGAGAGAGAGAGAGAGAGAGAGAGAGAGAGAGAGAGAGAGAGAGAGAGAGAGAGAGAGATATTTATTGTTTATTTCACTTTTGTTTACTATCTACTTCACTTGCTTTGGCAATGTTAACACACGTTTCCCATGCCAATAAAGCCCTTAAATTGAATTGAATTGAATTGAGAGAGAGAGAGAGAGAGAGAGAGAGAGAGAGAGAGAGATCGAGATCATACCAGTTAGTTCACAGGCGGGAGTTGAAATTCACTTAATGAATTGAATACATTTAATATGTAATTGAACTGACTCAATTAGGATGGAGTTGGTGTTGACCCCAACCCTGGCTTTTTATACTGTGATACTGTGAAGAAAACAGTACAGTTAGATATTTGAAGTTGCTAAGAGACACATCATGACCTCAACCTTTGACTGCCCCACCCCCCAAGCTGATTATTGTAAATAGTGTGCTTTGTCTACTCATTTAATACATATTACTACTAGCTGTACCTTGTTTAAGGCCTAGTGCTGAAAATACTTTTAGGTGGCATAAACTATTGTTATAACAGTGATAGGACTGTAAGAAGAAACCCTGAAAAATGTATTGATATAAAGTAGATATGAATTGCAAGAAACTACTGTGTTATAATCTAAAACAAAATTCAATTTGTTTAATACTATCATACCAAATGGCAAACATTTGAATATATTACCATGTAGTAGTTTACATTAGAAAATGTGAATTGCTAATTTAGAGACACTCAGAAAAACATGTTTGTGATAAATTGATATATTTTTAGTAAATACATCTGATTTTCTTTATCATCATTTGGTTTACACTAATTCCAGTCTAGAAATGTGAATTCTATAATTCTTGCCAAATACAAATATACAAATTGTGCCATATGAAAAGAAATAACTTTTTGATACAAACCTCTTTGTAGTACCAAGGGAAAACTGTGTATTGAATTGACTATGTTTTAGGTGGAATTTAGCAGTGAAATTACAACTGGTTTGAATGGATAGTTTTGAACCCAGCATTACTGCGTATCTTCACAACCTTGTACTAGAATGGGAAGAAACAATCATTTCTTTTCAATGTGGCACAGCCATTTATTTGCAAAATATAATATTACTGTCAATTCCTAAGTTCTGCACATTTACAAGGTCATGTCTAAAGCATCAACCCTGAACTAATACATTCATCATTAATTATTTTTGTAAACAAATATTATATGGAAATAGATACATATGTGTACACACAGGTAGACCTTATATTTGCAAGTAGTTCACATATTAGTTTCTGTGCAGAGGAGGGCACTGTTCAACATGTGGTAGAAACATAGGATATATTATATAAAGTCTATCTATATAAAGAACTCAATTATTTTTTGTATTATATGTTTTCAAAAGAAAATGATAGAATTTTATTTATTGAATAGTTTACGTAAAACCTGGATATTTTGTGTGTAATGTGCACTGTATTTATGTGAAGGATATTGTTTATCTAACATATTATGACATATTATAGAGGTTCTAACATTTCAAAAGCTGCTATACTGATCCATGTGTAAATATTGAACCAAAAACATATGGGGGAGTAGGAAGGGTATACAGGGTTGGGGTTACTTGAATAGCAAGGCAGGGTTGTTTGACACTAGTCAGTGGTTTTCAACACTGTCCTTGAGGTTCAACAGTCAGCTACATTTTGCTCCAACAAATCACATAGTCAATGGAGTTGTTAACTGACTATTAATGTTGACATGACGCTGTTTTTGTGTGAAAAAAATATATACAAAATAATTCACAGCTGACAGTCAACCAACATCTCCACTGAGCATTATTTTGTTGGAGCAAATGTAGCCTACTTCAGGATCAACATTGACAAATAATGCTCAATATTAAGTTTAGATTGAAGACCTGAAACAATAATTTGAACTTGTTATCTAAGGGCGGTTCTATGGGCAGATATAAAATATAGAGAGTTTATTTGAGATATAAAATATTCAGGTGTTTCCCAAATAGATTTTAAAATATGCTGAAATCAGTGAGGGGACCGAGCTTTTTAGGTGTTTGACTGGTCACTTAGATCCCAGTAAGACACTCCAGTTTTGTTGACAGCTCTTAGCTGGGGAAGAGGTGATTAGGTCTGGGGACCTTCTAGAAGATAGTGGTAAATAGTTATCTTCACTCAGCACACTTAAGTGTCACACAAATACTACCTACAATCAAAATAATATAAAATATTTCCAAGATTTAGCTATACAGTCTATATAACTATTTAAGTAAAATCTAAAATACTATAATGTATATACAGTAACTCGAAATATTACTATGATATGGCTTGTCTGAAAGATGACGGTTGAAAACAATGTATTTATATTTCGGTTTGCATGGTGTTTGTAACAGTAGTTTCATATGATCTTCTTTCTTTTTATTCTCGCTGAACTCTTATTTGGATTGAGTATTGCATAAAGTAAACTGTCCAAAGTTTATCTTTTTGAGCTCAAAATAGGTAATTGTTTAGTCTCGGAAATCCCAGACACAGCTGGAACATTGTTTACATTGTTGGAGGCAACCCGCCTGCCTAGGGAGACTAGTAATTGATTCAATATGTTTGGCCTCAGTCGTCAATTAACTAAAGAAAATATTAAAAGGTATGGAGATTTGGAATATGATTTTTTTGTGTCAACTGGTGATCTATGCATTACAAACCTACTGTACCAACCTAAAACATAAGACATTTCTTGGACATATATTTTGTCCGAATATGAGCAAAGTTCAGCTCATATCAACAGTTTGACATGGGTGAAAGATGTTATCTGGGCTTGGAAGGACACTGCTTAGCCTACTGTTGTTGCATGAAGCTGAAGTGTCAATTGCTGCAATCTTCTGAATCAAGTAGATCCATAGCTTTTGTGTGTGTGGAGTTATTGGGTACATGAGATGATGAGTGTTGGAGCCATAGAACTATAATATATATATGGTTGGAAAATGGCTGTGTGTTGGCACATGGATGTACGTTGTGCAGATCATCTGTATATTTGGCTACAGTATGTGGTTTCTATAGACACGTAACATCCTCCCTTATAACCAACCAACCTACTGATCCACCAGCAGTGTGACTGTGGTAGTTATTAATATTATCAAAGACAACAAAACCAGGGCTTCCACCATTGGCAGAGGTCAGAAAGACCTTTACAGTATGGTATTATATTCACATGTTTGATGACTCCATCTCTAGAAGGGAGAGGGATGTCAGTGACAGAATGGCTGCAGTAAAGCTACCGTCCTTCAGGTGTTTCCCCAAGTATCATGTCCCAATATCAGGGCTGTCAGAGTTAACTTAAGTTAACTTTTTGTAATTTCAGTGTACTAATTAATCGCATTGTCTTGAAACGTTCAAAATACATAATATATATATATATATATTTAAAAACAACAATGCGATGTCAAAACAAGTTGACATTGATGATGTTAAAGAAAGTGTGCTTTATCAATGTACCTGATTTTGCTTACTGTTACTTTGGACAAAATCAAGACATCAATATTATTGTAATCCCTTTTGTATAAAAACAAATCTTAAATTACAGCTTAATTTGAGCAAATTCTGAATTTGCGATTAATCACAGCAAATCCTGCGATTATTTGATTAAATGTTTTTAATTGTTTGACAGCCCTACAATATACACTGAGTGTACAAAACATTAGGAACACCTTCCTACTATTGAGTTGCATCACCCCCTTTTGCCCTCAGAACAGCCTCAATTCGTCGGGGCATGGACTCTACAAGGTGTCGAAAGCATTCCACGGGGATGCTGGCCCATGTTGACTCCAATGCTTCCCACAGTTGTGTCAAGTTGGTTGGATGTCCTTTGGGTGGTGAACCATTCTTTATACACATGGGAAACTGTTGAGCGTGAAAAACCCAGCAGCGTTGCAGTTCTTGACACACTCAAACCAGTGCGCATGGCACGTAGTACCATACCCCGTTCAAAGGCACTTAAATCTTTTGTCTTGCCCGTTCACCCTCTGAATGGCACACATACACAATCCATGTCTCAAGGCTTACAAATCCTTCTTTAACCTGTCTCCTCCTTCATCTATACTGATTGAAGTGGATTTAACAAGTGACATCAATAAGGGATGATAGCTTTCACCTGGATTCACCTGGTCAGTCTGTCATGGAAAGAGCAATGTTTTGTACACTCAGTGTACATTAGAA